CCTTGTGGTCTCTTCCAACTCTATGATTCTATGATTCTATGATTCTATACCACAGTGACTCTGCAAGGTAGGCGAGACTAAGAACATCCAGAGACCTTCAGGGCCAAGGACCCTTTAACCCTTTGATCCTTTGAGCTATTTTTAAGGAAATTTGCCAAAATCTAGACTTCTGGCATGAGTTGCCGTACATCTGGATTTCTGCCAGGACACTGTTTCCAACTACAGTATTCCGGTTGTGTCCAGGAAATTTGGATGTATGGCAGCCCTACAACTCCCATCATCCCTAGCTAACAGGACCAGTGGTCAGGGGTGATGGGAGTTGTAGTCCCAAAACATCTGGAGGGCCGGAGTTTGCCTATGCCCAGTGTAAGCTTTCATGAGCACGCACACTTCTTCAGAGATACACTATACAAGATACATTCTGGAGGCTTACATCAATAATCAGATAACAGATCTCCTAGATCCTTTTCAGGACTCAATACTTTAACACCACAGGCATTTGGGATGGAAGAGAGCACTTAATTTCTACCCAGTCTCTTATAAAAAATGAAGCAACTTCCTTATATAATCTCCATGGATCGGGAACTTAAGACACTCCAGTGAGACAGGGAGCCTCTGAATGCTGCCCTGTTCCCACAGCAAATAGATGGGCGTGGTAGTGGCGTAGCCCAAGTCTCCCAAGATAGATGGATGCCAACCCAAATCCCCTAATAACTGTGCAACCTGCTCATATTCATATTCATATCTATCTATCTGCAGTGCAAATACATTTTAAAAACAGTAGGCACTATAAAATTATCAAAATGTCAATAAGATCAACAATTTTAAAAGCAAATATACATAGTAAATTGGGTAGGTTTGCCAAACCAAAATGTTTTTTAGCAAGTGCTGAAAAAAAGTGCTTGCCTGCTATCAAGAGGCAGGGAGTTCCAGAGTTCAATTTGCACTTAGCAGACTGGTTCATCTGATATCATGTTTTTGTTGTGAGGCTTTGGATCCAACCCCACAGTTCATTCTGTCTGCTTTAAATCATTTTCAACCTTTTGCACAGGAGTTACTGTAAAGACTCAGGAAATGGTGAGGTTTAGGTTTTTTGGTTTTCTTTTTGGTAAGTTTCCGAGGAAAGAACTGAAATTAAAGCAGCAAGCTTCTAACTGCAGTCATCCTCAAGCCATTTGACTATATCACTGCCAGCTGCGTCCTCGGAAACCAGAGCAAACACTGCTTTTAATGTGGTCGCCAGAGCGAACGCTGCGGAGGCAGTGCATGAAGCTCCAGCTAATTGCAAAGCAGAGGTTTGGCTTGCGGCTTCCCTTGCTCTGCTTTGCATTATTTCACGCCTCTCCACCCTCATACCATATGACGTCTCTGAGTAGGAGACTATAGGAGGCTGTTTAATAGGATTGGGGAACATCAGGCCCGGGACCAGAGGAACTCTTCAGCATCCGTGTCTGGGCCTTGGAACGCCACACCCCCTTTCCACCGGCCACACCCTTCACTGGCCCTAGTTCTGCTGTTCCTTGGGTACTTTTGCCTTCCTGCAGCGGTTCTCAAAGGGTGTGGTGGGAAGATTCCAGGAGAGTCAAAGAAACATTAAAAATTTTCAGTGTAGTATAGTACAGTATAGAACAGGGGTGCCCAAACTTTTTTCAAAGAGGGCCAGATTTGAAGAAGTGAACATGCATGAGGGCCGGTCAAACTTGCTGAGCTTTTTTTAGGATTGAACTTGCTGAGATTTTTTAAAGGATTTTACCCCAGGACATATATTGCTACTGGGCCGGATTAAATTTGTCGGTGGGGAGAATTAGGCCCCCAAAACGGACTTTGGACATACCTGGTATAGAATAATATAATTTTTTATATAGGTGGGTGTGTGTACACACACACACACACACACACACACACACACACACAATGAGAGCAAGAGCATTGACTTTTCTCCTACATATTGTTGTGAACAGGGATTTTCCATTCTGACAAATATGAAAGCTCAGGAAAGAGAATGGCTTCTTCGTGCTGATGAGGAGAAGAGAGTTAGTTTGTCTCAAATTAGGCCTAATATAAATGAATCACTCAGCAAAGGAAAGCTCATACCTCTCATTGAGTCTGTATACATACATAAGGTACATAGAAGGGTGTAGCCAGGACTTTTGTTGGGAGGGGGGCAGAACCGATGTGATTGGTCAGTTAGGTAAGTATTTTTATTGTTTTTGCGGGGGCAGCTGCTCCCCTTGCCCTCCCTTGGCCACTCCCATGGGTACATACATTAGAGGCTTACACAGGCAGGAAGAACCAGATGTGCAAATATAAGATGGGGGATACCCGGCTTACTAGCAGTACATGTGAAAGGGGTTTCGGGGTTTGGGTGGGCCACCAGCTTAACATGAGTCAACAGTGTAATGCAGCAGCAGCAGCAAAATAAGGCTAACGTTATTCTAGGCTGCATCAATAGAAGTATAGTGTCCAGGTCAAGGGAAATAATAGTCCCACTCTATTCTGCCTTGGTCAGACCACACTAAACAGGGAAACATTGGCCTGCGAGTGCTCCAGTTGGAGAACAGCCTTTACCAAAGGTGTCATGGGCTTTGAAGACACTCGAACTCAGGACAGAAGGGAGAAACGTGCTAGGAGGAAGGCACACTCGGCAAACCCTCCTGCCCGGAAACCAATGTCCCCACTGTGGAAGGACATGTGGATCCAGAATTGGCCTCCTCAGTCACTTACAAACTCATTGTTAAAACCATGTTTATGGAAGACAATCTTACTTGGCTACGAGTGATAGAAGAAAAAGAAGAGGAAGAAGAAGAAGAAGAAGAAGAAGAAGAAGAAGAAGAAGAAGAAGAAGAAGAAGAAGAAGTAGTGTCCAGGTCAAGGGAAGTAATAGTCCCACCCTATTCTGCCTTGGTCAGACCACACCTGGAACACTGTGTCCAATTCTGGGCACCACAAATTAAGAAGAACATGCTGGAACATGTGCAGAGGAGGACAACCAAGATGATCAAGGGTCTGGAAAACCAAGTTTTAAGAGGAACTGTTAAGGGAGCTGGGTATGTTTAGCCTGGAAAAGAGGAGAGAGGATATATGATAGCCATTTTCAAATATCCAGAGAGCTGTCACATGAAAGATGGAGCTATCTTGTTTTCTCCTGCTCTGGAGGGTAGGACTTGAACCATTGGATTCAAGCAACAAGAAAAGAGATTCCAACTAAACATCAGGAGGAACTTTTTGACGCTATGAGCTGTTTGACAGTGCAACAGACTCCCTCATAAGGTGATGGACTCCCCTTCCTTGGAGATGGCCAACCGTCATGGCTACTTTAGTTGAGATTCCTGCATTGCAGGGGGTTGGACTAGATGACTCTTGGGATTCCTTCCAACTCTTCTATGATTCTATGTGCTTTTCCTTGTAAAGAACGGAACTTGTCTGCCACCTACTGGTATAAAGCAGGAAATGGTTCTGAGAAAGAAGCAGAGAATGGGCGAGCTCTAAGTTAGCCGAAGCAGTTTGGGGTACAGGCTTCTTACTCCTTCCCCTTTTTGAGGATTGTATATGGGAAAGCAGAACACTCCTTGAGGCACTGGATTTCTAATGCAGAAGATCTTCAGCATTTGTAAGGTGAAACCATGTACGGCAGTTCTACCAGGATGGGTCTTGAGGGATCTAGGATCCAGCTGGGTTGAGGGTCCAGAAACAATGACCAGGAAGGGCCCAAAATGTAGCAGAACAGTATTGGGTAACAACCCCACCCTCTCTTTCAAAATGTCTCTAGCCGTTTTGTGCCGGCACCCACAAGACATATAGCATGAGTACAAACCCTTTCTATGTCTTTTTACCCCTCAAAAGTACCGAACAAAGGAATGTCTAAAAGATTGCCACACCTCTGATATGGGCTCAGCAGGAGAGCATCTCCATTAGAAACCACATCACCAGGTGGTCTGTGCTGTATAATGGAGGGAGGGAGAATTGGATATTATTGAAAGCAAATGACCATCTTGATGGTCCCGATCTACTCAGAAAAAGGACATGGGAAGATTGCTTTATCCCAATTGAGACCACTCATTGAGACCACTCATTGCTTCCAGTATTCTTCATTGAGTTTCAGAAGCAAGAGACAAAGCCTCAAATTGACGGTGAAAGATTCAGCTTTATCAATTGTCACATTTTTTGACTGATTGCAACATTGCCCAAGTTCTCCTATCAAGGCATTGTTTGGGGTCATCAACCCAAGGGAAAGCTGTTATCAGCACATCATTGTCCTATGACAAAAGAACTGCCTTTTGCTATTTCAGGCCCTTGATCCATTTAGCTCAATATTCAACACTAACTTGCAGAGACTCTCCAGTATTTCAAACAGGGGATACTGGGGACTGAATGTCGGAACAACTGCATACTATGTGTGTGCTCCGCCAAGGTGTTTTGGCCCTTCCCTGAATACATAGGAACAAGTGGCTTCATCACATAATGACCCACCTAGCTTAGGACTGTCTACACTTGCTGGCAGAGACTCTCCAGAGATCTTTCCCAGCCCTTATCTGGAGATCCCAGGGTTGAACCTGGGATCTCAGCCACTAAGCTTTGGTCCTTCCCCTTCAATTCACTGCTGATAAATGATGGCTCTGTACCATTTTGAGACTTTGCCTCACCTTTAGAATAATTTGGTGCAGGAGACTAGTACTTCCTCCATCACCATCTATACTATTGACTGTCAACATTGCTCCATGGTCTCACAAACAAGTTCTTCCTAAACCCTTTTCCAGGGATCCTTTAATTCAGGGGTGGGAAATCTGTGGTCCCACACATCTTTGCTTTCACTGGCAATGCAAGGAATTTAAATGGAGACTGCCTGCAATTTTTCTGTCATTGCTATGGTACACACACACGTACACACACACACACACACACACACACACACAATGCGGAGAGGCCTGTATACACCCATACCCCTTGAATGTACACCAAACAATATGACACATTAAAAAAAAAAGACTCAGAGATTTCTGTAAAAGTAAAATTGTGCTTTTATTTAATTTTTTTAAAAATGTACAATCAGACACTGTCCTGCTGTGTTTTGGAAAGCATGGATTGTTTAAAAAAAAAACCTTGATGACAAAAAACTTAGCTTATTATTATTATCATCCTTTTCTTTTCATTTCATTTCTTTTCATTATATTAATAATATTAATCTTAGGATGAAATGTTTAAATAGGGCTGTTTTCTTCCTTGCCCTTTTCTATATCTGTGTTTTTTAGAAATATATATAGAGAGAGGTGGATCCAGACTTGCAGTGCAATCTCCACCATGCCTACTAAGAAGTTAGGTCTTCCTTCTTTGTCTCACTGTTGCCCTTTTCGAACTCAGCAGGGAGGAGGATGGGGACAAAACTAGAATGTCATTGGCTCTGGTGCCACCTACTGTTGCGCACTCTGCCATCCACCCTACCAGTCCAAATGTGCACCAGCCACCACTACTCCCAGGTGAGTGGAGATAGGATTGCACCTTTAGTCATGCTTGGAGTAAACCCACTGAAACCAATGGAGCTTCAGTTAGTCATGGAGAAGTCTGGATCCAGTCTGTATATATAGGAAAAGCTTCCAGATCATCAGCTAATAAAGCTCAAGGATGGCTAATAATGATCACAATAATAATGTATATATTTTGTGTGTGTGATTCTGTGTGTGAATATGCCAGATTGTGTCCTCTTCCCTGACATCCCCTCCCCTCCCCGCTTCCCTCCCTGGCGATTGTCATCTTTGGTGCAAAGAAAGCCAGCTACAGATAGGGGGAAAAGGATGCTCAGTTGAGCACGCTACGTTTTGAAGAAGCCTTTCCCACCCCCAATAAAAAATGGTCAAGGGAGCCAAGGTTACGTCAAGCAACACTGATGCTTTGGTAAAGTTCCCATCTCCATTTCTAATCTCCCTTCCCCCAAATTTCTGGAAAAACAAACAAACAAGCAACCATTCTTTTTCTTTCTGTCAGCCAACCCCGTGGAGGATTCATGCTCTCTTTCGTCTCCCTTCAAGATTCCTAAAGCTGTAGGGTCTCAGTTTCATCTCTGCAAACTGGATGGAGTGCTCATGACCTTTCCAGTGGAACCAGTTGACACCCTGCAAAAACAGAGGCAAGAACGGAAGGTTGATATAAATGAACGGGGGAACACAACTGTTTACTAGCTATTGTGTGCAGTTAAGAGTATCAACTACAAGCCATGGCATCCCTGGTTGAAATGCCATCATAGCCATTAACTGACATATAAGCTACGGGAAAAGGGTAACTGTGACTTTAAGGATGAATGGGAACCCTTTACAAAGTATCTGAAGACGCAACAAAGCGAACTGGACTCCTTGGCAGGTTTTGAATAAACAGTCACAAACCTTTTATATTGATAATAATTAGCTAAATAGTTTGAGGATCTATACAACTTTGTAACATGCAGAAAACAGCATTCTTAGAGAAACCAAAGACTGTAACTGAGGGAAGTTGGGGGGTGGGGTGAGGGATGGTTGGTTTTTGTGTGGGAGGGGGGGAGGGAGGAAAAATGGGGGGTGGGAAACAAGGATGATATGTTTTTGGATAATATGTCTTGTTATAATCTTGAATAAAAAAAATAAAAAAATAAAAGAAATGCCATCATAGCCATCAATTCTATCGGTTGATATTTATTCCCAAGCTGTCCTCAATAGCAATGGTGGGAAACCTCAGACTCAAGGGACAAAATGTGGGCTTCCAGGGCTTCCTATGTGGCTTTGGGACTTTCCCCACACCACATCTTCTTTCTCTGGGCCTCCTTTAAGTGCCTGGAACTGTGGCAGTGCCGCCTGCCTGCTTGTCTAATCAGAGAGGAGGTATGTAGGCAGGGATGCCAGAGAATTCCAACAGAAACAGGAGGAAATGGGCTTTGCACTGCTGGAAGCATTTAAGCAAAGCTGAAAATATAGCCATCTGGTGGGGCTGATGTAGCTACACCCTGAACTTAGCTCAGTGGGATGTTCAGGGTTTCTTTAGCCTTGATGTAATGATTCACCTTGTTTTACTCAGTATACACCCATTGAAATTAATGGATCTAAGTTCAGTGAGTAAACATCAAGGGAAAATCTGCACCTGATGCCTTGGGGGACATCTTCAGGAGAAGAGAGGGCTAAGGAGGAAACACTACACAAATGCAGCGTGGAGTCCCTAAGGCAGCCAGGTGGCATCTTGTATGCCTCCTTCTGGGAACTCCTGCAGCCAAGCTGGTGCCAAATGTAGTGCTATGCTTTCCTTTTGGACCACATCAGAGAGGCCGAGAAGGGAGCACATTGTAATCAGGACAGCCCAGGACCTCCATACACATTGCCCAAGCTAGTGCCCCAGAGAGGGCAATGCTAACACAGCAAAAACAGCAAGGAATGCATCATTTATGAGTCTCTTCAGCCACAGCAGGCACTACAATTATCCAGCAGTTTTGACTTCACCCCCAGAGGCGCACTGCATTGTCTCTTGATGGAGACAGATGCCAACAAAAAGTTAGTGTTATCCATTAATTTCAATGTATACTCTGAATAGGGCTAGCACTGGTAGGACAACCTCCCATCTCCACTTCTAAGCTCTGCAAGGTGGCGACTTGCCCACTTGTACCCTGCATGACAAATGCAATGTACAACAACTTACCTGGCTGTGGTTGTTGTCCCCATATCTACCCATCAGGTTAACACGGTGGCAGTTCTTGTACCAGAAAGCTCCTTTGTATGATAAAGCGCAGTTAGTAATTGCTGAATCGTGGTCCTTGTCGTGGGTGGAAAAGGGGCGTGCATTGTGATAGGTCATGGAATCGCCTGTGTGATGGAGAAAAAACATAGCTGATTTTTAGGTTGTTGCTAGCAGGAACTGTACTATACATTTTTGTGACCCGAGGTGAAGGGCAAAATAGTATGTCTCCTCTTCCTCATTCCAAATACAAGTGGCTGCTGGCTCCTATTGGCACCTGTAGGGTGGAAGTCTGGGAGCCCAACAGTAGATGGCATTAGAGTCAATAACAGGTGGAGACAACTATTCCTAGTTTTTAATCCACCCTCTTCACTGCTGAGTTCTAACAAGGGCAACACTGAGACAAAGGAGGAGGAAGACCACAGGCAGGGCCAACCTTTGAACAGGTAGGAAGGCAGGTAGGTGGCTTGGGAGAGGAAACTGGTTGAAGAAGAAGAGTTTGGATTTGATATCCCGCTTTATCACTACCTGAAGGAGTCTCAAAGCGGCTAACATTCTCCTTTCCCTTCCTCTCTGTGAGGTGAGTGGGGCTGAGAGACTTCAGAGAAGTCTGACTAGCCCAAGGTCACTGCATGTGGAGGAGAGAGGACACGAACCCGGTTCACCAAATTACGAGTCTACTGCTCTTAACCACTACACCATGCTGGCTCTCTTGAGCAGCCCTGACTGGTTTTAAGAAAGAAGGCAGGTAGGTTGGAGCTGACTGAGGGGGAGTTCAGGGCAGTGGTGTAGTGTGGGAGGGTAGGGGGGGCATGGCTCTTGGTGCTTTTTTTTTGAAGGTGCACAACCAGACTCCCTCATTGAAGGTGCACCCGGGCCAGGCCTTCAGGGTATGGGTGGTGGCAGCACCTCCTTCTCTTTATGCACAGGAAAGGGATGCCCATGCATGCCCCACACCTAGGCTGGCCGACAGGGAGGGGGAGGATGCAGTTACCACCACCACCACCCACCACAGAGGGAGGGTGAGTGTGTGACCCAGGGGCGGAAGTGGTGGAGAGGACATGGCAGCATTGTTGCCCCTCTCCTCCACTGGGCTCTGGCACATGAGTGTGCTCCCTGCACCACTTTGCAAGGCTGGGATCAGACAGTCCTACCTCAGCCTTGCAACGCTGTGTAGGGCTGCCAGGGCTGTGTGAGTGCACCCTTCAAACCAGTCTGATTGGACTGATTTGAAGCAGCACCGAGGGTAGGGCTGATGCAGCAGCAGTGGGCTCCCTCTGCGCTCTGCCCCCGCGTCCCGCTGAGCACTTCACATATGCCCCAGGCAGTGGTAGCATACGCTCTGCTGCTGGTTCAGTGGGTTCTACTTGCTCCAATGGACTTGACTCCACCCAGGAGCACCTCCAAGAGACCTTTGGTTGTCCACTGCTGGAACCAGAAAGTTGTAGTAGATGGGCCTTTGCTGTGTTCCAGAAGAGTTGTTCTTATTCCCACTTAAGTTCTTTAGATGCATAAGGTGGGTGGGACTTTTGACAATGCGACAACCTCCTCCACTATACCTAAGGTCAGTGGGCTAGCTTAGGTGGCACAGAGCAGATAGGTTTAGGAGGAAAAGGGCAGAATGCTGCTGTTCCCTGGCATTTACCACCTGAAGTAGCTGCCCCACTGCCTAATGATAGTGCCAGCCTGGTTTGTGGAACACAAAAGAAAGACTGATGTCATGCGGGCAGAAACAAAGAGAACTGTCTGAAGTAGTGATCTGAGTGAGCCCTTCCCCATATTGGAAGAAATCTGCAGAGAAATACTCATGAATTTCTATGATGAGGTTTAAATAAGTGAAGAAATAGCAAACTAATGGTGGAATTGTGAAGAACTAAACTTTATATTTATTTATTTATTGGGGGGGGGGACTGAGAGAATCAGAAATGGACAGATACATCCATCTGCTTTGCGGGGGTGGGGGGTTTACAATATTTCTAGTCTGGTGGCCACTGGCATTTTCCACCCCGCCCCTAGCAGGCTTCAAAACAAACCTTGGAAGGGTGCATATGGTTTGCATTATAAAGTTACCTATCTCTGGGGATTCTCAGAACAAACAGACCCATGGAGAATAGCACACATGACTAACTTGCATCTGCTAATTCCAACGGGGCCTGCTCTGAGTTGAATTAGCTGGTCACAACTCTCCTAGATTCTTTACTCCCTTTCTATTGAATGTGTTTTGCTTTTGCTGGGAGATCATCCAGCTCATTCCAATACTGGTTCCAATATAAGGGGTTGGGACGGGGGGCAAAAGAAAGTACTGGAAGGAGCCTGTGGGATTTGGCCTGCCATCTTTGCAACAAAGCAGATGTGGTCTTCCAGAACATTTTCCATGCTTTGTCACACAATGTACAGCTTGTTATGATGGGGAACCGCTAAGCACATTCTTGGCATCTTGACCCATCATGTTCCTTCTTGTGTAAGCCATATTCAGGACAGGTACTTAGAGCTCCAAGAGAGACATTGCTGGGCTCAGGCTGTTTGTTTACATTCCAAGACTGAAAAAACAGCAAGTTGCTCAGCACCAGGTAGATTTAAAATGGAAATGACACACAGAAGCAATGTTACACAAAAAGGCCCATAATCCCTTGCAGGAAACAAAGGTATCCCAATGCAACCCATTTTAACCCTGTGTTAAATTGATGGACAAAAATAAAATAATGCTCCTTCTGGGGGTGGGGAACTCTTTATCAAGAAGTGCTCAACCACCACTGGCATCAGCCCTTAAATGCATTGTAAGAACCATAAATGCCAGAACTTGGGCTTGGATTTGGGTTTGTTCCCCCCCTTTCCCCCCCATGCATAAGGTAAACGTAAAGGTACCCCTGCCCGTTCGGGCCAGTCTTGCCAGACTCTAGGGTTGTGCGCCCATCTCACTCTATAGGCCGGGAGCCAGCGCTGTCTGGAGACACTTCCGGGTCACGTGGCCAGCGTGACAAGCTGCACCTGGCGAGCCAGCACAGCACACGGAACGCCGTTTCCCTTCCCGCTGGTAAGCGGTCCCTATTTATCTACTTGCACCCGGAGGTGCTTTCGAACTGCTAGGTTGGCAGGCGCTGGGACCGAACGTCGGGAGCGCACCCTACCGCCGACCATGCGATCGGCAAGTCCTAGGCGCTGAGGTTTTACCCACAGCGCCACCCGCATCCCCATGCATAGCTTACACAAAATTAAGGCCAAGGGTCACAACAAGTTATTAGCATACATTGTTGACAGAGGGGATACCTCTGTTTGAAAAGGATTTTGACAAGCTAAAACATGTGCAGAGGGCAACCAGGAAGATCAAGTGTTTAGAAATCAAGCCTTATGAGGAATGGTGGAGGAGGCTAGCTATGTTTAGCTTGGAGAACAGAAGACTGAGGAGATAATAGCCATCTTCAAACATCTGAAAGGCTTTCATGTGGAGGATGGAACAAGCTTCGCTTCTGCTGCTCTGGATGGGAGGACCCAAACCAATGGATTCAAGAAATAAGAAAGGAGATTCCTACTAAATGTTAAGAACTTTCTGGGGACTCAACTTGATTGATAAAGAAAAAGCATTTTATATGTGCTGTATAAGCGATATAACCATAGCTGTCAACTTTTCCCTTTTCTCGCGAGGAATCCTATTTGGAATAAGGGGACTTCCTTTAAAAAAAGGGAAACATTGACAGCTGTGGATATAACACTGTGACACCAGATGGCGCTGTGGAGTCCCATCTTTCCCAACCGGATTTCCCTGTATGAGTTTACAACTCATTTAGCTGAAACGCTTCTTTGATCCAGCCTGACGGTAATAGCTGTTTGACAGTGGAAACCTTGAAAAGTGATAGACTCTCATTCATTGGGTGTTTTTAAAGACTGATTGTATGACCACGTGTCAAGGATTCTTTAGTTGTTATTTCTATATTGCATAGGTGGACTAGATGACCCTTGGAGTCACCTAGAATTCTAGGGTACCTATAAAAGGTGACTAAATAATGAATGACTGCTGCATTGTTTCCATTTTTCATTTCCCCTACTCCGAATAAAACTTAGTTGGCTATCACCTGTTGTTGTTGTTAATTATGCTAATCAAGACTCAACAAGAGAAGAAATCAAATGAGACATGCCCCAGGTAAGGATTCCTTTCTTAGAGATATTCAGATTGCCCCAGAATCTTTTCTTTTTAAAAAATAAACAACTATGATACATTACTGTACGAGAGCCAGTGTGGTGTAGTGGTTAAGAGCGGTAGTCTCATAATCTGGGAAACCGGGTTCGAGTCTCCGCTCCTCCACATGCAGCTGCTGGGTGACCTTGGGCCAGTCGCACTTCTTTGAAGTCTCTCAGCCCCACTCACCTCACAGAGTGTTTGTTGTGGGGGAGGAAGGGAAAGGAGAATGTTAGCCGCTTTGAGACTCCTTAAAGGGAGTGAAAGGCGGGATATCAAATCCAAACTCTTCTTCTTCTTCTTACTGTAACTTCCTCCAACTTCTTCACGAAATGAAAATGAGGAGGCAGGGGCAAAGGGGAGGGTCCTTCTGTGACTGACAGCTCCAGTTTGCAATCTAAGAATAACTTTACCAGAGCATTGGGGAAGGACATAGAACACAACAGAAGTAGTTTGAGCTTCTGATTTCCCTCTGTTTTTTCCAGGAAGGTGTTACTAGATATGTATTATACTTTACAGCTGCATCTGTGATAAGGTTATTAGACTTTGTATTTTACAGAGTGTACGTGTTTATTGCTTGGATGACACTGTGTATCATTCCTGTTTAGCATATATTAACTATGCTCATTACATATTATGTACCATTAGGCATTGTTTATTATTATGAGTTACATAAATGCAACTCATAATAATAATCAGTACACCGTAATAATCAGCACATAATAATACACACACACACACACACACACACACACACACACGTAAGTGTTTTGTATTGCATGGATTTTGTACGGCATGCATATTGTGTTAGGGATTGGCATACACTGTTCATTATGTTCTGCAGAATCATAGAGCTGGAAGGGACCCAATTGGTCACCTACTCCAAACTTTTGCAATGCAGGAATGTTGTAAATCACCTTACAAACAAACAGCAGAGGCTTACAAGTTATTCTGAGGCTAGCACACAAACCCACCTGCTGTGCCACTATATCCTTCCACTTTCAGCCGGTAGCGAGACCTGGCATCACCGACAAAAAACTTGTCATAGAGGGCATAGGCAGTTTCACCATGGTCACGCAAATCCACCCGCAGCTCATACTGGCCCTGGGAAGTGATTTTGTGGAGCTTGTCCAGACCTATAGGGAACAATCAAGAACATTGGAACAAATGTATGGCTCTATACTTAGGCAGGAATAACCGGCTGCAGAAATATTAGATGGGGGACACCTCAGTTGTCAGTAGTACATGTGAAAAGGATCTAGAGGTGTCAGCAGACCACAAGCTTAACATGAGCCAACAGTGTGATGCAGCAGCAGAAAAAGCTAATGCTATTCCAGGCTGCATCAACATAACTATAGTATCCAGATCAAGGAAAGTCATAGTATTGCTCTAGTCTGTCTTCGTCAGACCACACCTGGAATACTGTGTCTAGTTCTGGGCACCACAATTTAAGAAGGATATTGACAAGCTGGAAGGTGTGCGGAGGAGGGCAAACATGATAATAAAGGGACTGGAAACCAAGCCTTATGAGGAATGGCTGAGCGAATTGGGTATGTTTAGCCTGGAAAAGAGGACTCTGAGAGGAGATATGAAAGCCATCTTCAAATATCCAAAGGGCTGTCACATGGAAGACGGAGCAAGCTTGTTTTCTCCTGCTCCGGAGGGTAGGACCCAAACCAGTGGCTTCAAGTTACAAGAAAGGAGAATCTGGCCAAACATCAGGAAGAACTTTCTGGTGGTAAGAGTTGTTTGATGGTGGAACAGACTCCCTTTGAAGGTGGTGGCAGTGCCAAATATAGGCTGGTGTAGGTGGTCCTCCTGCACAGGGCACCAAGCCAAGGGCACAGTCCTTTGTGCAATGTGAAGGGACACTTGTTAGTCACGTACCTAGCCAGAATTCACCATTGGGATTTCCAAATCCAGCCTCATAAGTCCTCCAGTTCTGGTAGAATTCCTGCTCTCCATTCTGCCTTCTTAGAAACACCTAGAACCCCAGAATAAACATTGCTATTGTTATAAACATTGCTATAATAAGACAGTGGCAGGCAGCATGTGTATTTATATACCTAGTGCTGCCTGTGGTGTGTGGCTGGTGATCTCCAGGCCCTCATGCAAGAATCTTTCCCAATGCTGCTCACCAGCCGTTGCTCAGAGACACCATGAACTGAACCTGGAGCCTCCTGAATGCAAAGCCTTTGATTGGCCACATAGACAGTTTATGTACCGGACCAGCAAACACAGGAAGCCACTTTATACTAGACCTTTCCAAATCCCAGACCCTGAAGTAGATTGGGCTGATGCAGTCTTCTTGAGTTGAGGCAGTCCTGGATCACCCCTAGGATCCTGCCACAATGACAGTGACTCTTACTTTTTTTTTATTCCATAATGTTTCTTTCTTTTTTATTAAAGATTTTCTTGGTTTACAAAAGTACATGCCTTGTCTCTTTTTTCAGGTTGTACAGTCTTTCTTACAGATCAGTTATGTTTGTTGTGAGACATTAGTGTTGGGTACGGTATAAGGTTGGGGAAGAAGAAGGGGTAGAGGAGGGGTAGGGTGGTAAGGCTTAAATTCTTTTGTATAGTGTACTTGTGGGGTTTTATGTCCGCCTCAACTGGGTAGGTTCTCTTTCTATTTGCTTGTTATATTTCCTTGGTAGTGAGAGGTATTGGGGGGTTGGTTGTCTGTGGTTGGTTGTCTGCTGTTGTCTGCAGTGGGGTTTGTTTGCATTTGTGAGGGAGGGGAGGGCTTGTTGGGCCAGGTAAGGCAGATTGATTTGTATGCTTTCAGTGGATTCTTGTTGTCTTGTTGGGCTGTGTATGTGATAAAGGGGAGCCATACTGGGGTGAAGGCGTCCTCTTCTATTTGTCCCCATGTCAGTTTCAGTTTATTGGTTAGCTTTTCTAGTAAGGTCATTGCCCATACTATTTGATACCATTGGTCCATGTTTACTCCTGACAGGTCTCTCCAGTGCCTGACTATGAAGCTTCTGGCTGCTCAGAGTACAGTGACTCTTAAAGGTAAAGGGTAAAGGGACCCCTGCCCATTAGGTCCAGTCATGGCCGACTCTGGGGTTGCTGCGCTCATTTCGCTTTATTGGCCGAGGGAGCCGGCATACAGCTTCCGGGTCATGTGGCCAGCATGACTAAGCCGCTTCTGGTGAACCAGAGCAGCGCACGGAAACGCCGTTTACCTTCCTGCCGGAGTGGTACCTATTTATCTACTTGCACTTTGATGTGCTTTCGAACTGCTAGGTTAGCAGGAGCAGGGGCCAAGCAATGGGAGCTCACTCCGTCGCGGGGATTTGAACCGCCGACCTTCTGAATGGCAAGTCATAGGCTCTGTGGTTTAACCCACAGCGCCACCAGCGTCCCATACAGTGACTCTTACTAGAGGGTAAAGAAGAGATGTGTGTTTATGCTATCAGCAGTACATGTTCAGCAGAAAGCACAAGGTCCAGAAGTCAAGATTCCAAGGTGGGTGGGAAAGCAAGGCAAGAGGTTAATAACTAAACAGAAGTTTTGAATATTGCAAGGCAGTTTTCATGTAACTCCCACCAAGCTTTTAAGTATGAGGTGGGTAGAGCTCATGGACAATACTCTCTTGCCTTATGTTTCTGCCACATTAACACACACACACTCCACATGGGTGGGTGCATCTGATCTCACCTGAAAGAGTGGCACCTGCTTCTCACCAAAAACACTGTCTCCTCCCCTCTGCTTCCAGGATTGAAGCCATGTCACCTGTGTACTTCTGTTCAGGGCCTCCCTCTGACTGGTCAAAATCTTCCCCCCTCCCTGATGAGGCTCTGTGTTCCATAGGAGGATCATAGGCGGGAGTTGACAGATCTGCTTCCTCCTCTCCAACATCTAGAGACTCAAGGAGAGGACCTCCCTTCTCCAATCCTGGGTGCCTGCCAGCCCCTCATTTACTCCTCCTCTTCCTCTCATCAAATCATGCTAGGTCCCTCTGGGGTCAAGGGGTCTTGAAGACCCACAGGTCAAATAAGGTCCACTTGGTCCGGCAGTGAAGAGAGGGGGGAGAAGGATACAAAAATGCACCCTCTGTGCAAACATCTCCCCCTCTCCTCTCACCCCCAGCCAATTACATGTTAATTGAGTTTGAAAATTTGTCCATCAAGTTCAGTATCATCTACACTGACAGGCAGTGGGCTCCCCAGGGTTGATCAACAATTCTACCTGGAGATGCTAAGGACTGAACCTCAACACCACATGCTCTCCCACCGAGCCAAGCATCCACAAATCCATTTGCCGTATCACCAGGAGCAAGAGTCTGCAGCATGCAGGAGACCCAGTGCTACAAAGGACCCTAATCTGGATGTATTGTCTCCACTGAAGCTTTTGAGCAAGTAAGAAGCAGCTTCCAGGCAGTGGGTAGAGACTTGGACTGTTTCTTAACTTTCCCCATTCAATGCAGAAAGGGAAGAAGACTCTGCTTCTCTCCCATGCAAGAAGATGGGAGTAGATTGGTTGTAGCTACAATAATGGCTGGTTGCTACCTATTGTGCGGAAAGGTAGATAAGTAATTAAGTAAGTAAAGGTAAAGGTACCCCTGCCCGTACAGGCCAGTCTTGACAGACTCTAGGGTTGTGCGCCCATCTCACTTAAGAGGCCGGGAGCCAGCGCTGTCCGCAGACACTTCCGGGTCACGTGGCCAGCATGACGAAGCTGCTCTGGCGAACCAGAGCAGCACACGGAAACGCCGTTTACCTTCCCGCTATAAAGCGGTACCTATTTATCTACTTGCACTTAAGGGTGCTTTCGAACTGCTAGGTGGGCAGGAGCTGGGACCGAACGACGGGAGCTCACCCCACCGCGGGGATTCAAACCGCCGACCATGCAATCAGCAAGTCCTAGGCGCTGAGGTTTTACCCACAGCGCCACCTGCGTCCCATTAATTAATTAATTAGAGTAGTACAAATACTCACAATCCATCCACCTCCATCAGAACTCATGTCGCAGAACACCTCTGTAGGCTGAGACTTGTTGCCATTTAGGTAAATAGTGTAGAGGCCAGAGGCTGTTTCTCCATTCAATAGAGCTTGGGAGCAGTCTCTGGGGTAAGGATACAAGAGTCCAGCTGCAGCAAAGGGGAACAAGCAAAGAATCACTACTTGAGTACCAGCACTTGTTACCGAGAAAGCAGTGGTGAGTGGTGCCTATTGAGCCTGACATGGAAGAAGGCAGGTAGACCAAAAGAAGTGGAGGCAGAGCCAACTAATTCTAGATTTGTCGCCATATTCCTCCCTGCAGAGTTCTACAAGAGCAACACCCAGGCCCCATTCACACTATACATTTAAAGTGCTATGATACCACTTTAAACAGTCATGGTTTCCTCCAAAGAATTTTGGCAACTGTAGTTTTTGAGGGTGCTGGGAGTTGTTAGGAAATCCTCGATCCCTTCCCAGGGCTACAATTCCCAGCGCACTTAAACAATCAATTCATATTCACTGGGGGTTGTGGCTCTGTATGAGAATAGAGGGTGTCCCAGCAACACTCAGAACCTTTAACAAACTATAGCTCCCAGAATTCATTGGGGGGAAACATGGCTGTTTAAAGAGCTGTCTAGTCTGATCCCCAGCAATGCAGGAACCACAGCGAAGGAAACATAGTGCTTTAACTGTATGGTGTAAATGTGGCATGACACTAACTAAGAGGAAACTGGCATAGGCAGTTTGATCCTCTGGAGAAGATGTAAGTAGAAAATCAGGCTGCTAGGGGCTGTCTGGTGGCACATGGAGGTTAGGGGTGCAGTGTCCCATTTCTTTCTTGACCTCTCTTGAAAGAAAGGTGTGATTTTGTTAGGCTCAACAAAGATGTCAAATTCTGACCACCATGACAACATTTACGATAAGCATAGGAGCCAATTTCTAGGGGCCATGAAGGTTTCAGTCCCTGCAATAAAATATTTGAGGGGGCTGCCCCCCCCAAGTTGATGGTCATTGCCATTCAGATGTTGTGTGTGCACTGCATCATGTGATTGATTATGCAGGATGGGGCTTACCTGCCCCCCTCCCATATTTTATTCAAGTTGGCACGCCTGACACTGAGGCAAATCATTCCTACATTTGAATGTGGAAGTACAAGGGTCCACACAGCAGAAATTGTGGCTGCTCCACATCTTCCCTGGTCCTTCTCCTGCTGTGTTACCTGAAGCTAAGCCATGGTTTGGCTCAGCAGTATGTATGAACCATGCATCATGATTTGTCTCCCTCCAGACAAACCATGAGTGGTACGCCAAGAACAACTCATGACTATAGCTTGTTGCTTAAGGCAAAACATGGGCCCAGGTTCAGACCATGGCTTAGCTCCTGGTAAAATTGGAGCACAAAGATTGGGGGAGGACTGAGAAACCACCCTTCCCCTTTGAGCTGCCTTTCCCAGCTCTATGGCATTTTTAAAAGATGCAATCAGAACTGAATGTGATAATCCAGACTCAGGTGCACAGCAGATGTATTGAAATATGGGCCAGTTTGCTTGGGGGGGGGTAGGAGTAGGAAGTGTCACCTGCCACCTCCCAGTCCCTGCATGTATCATACTTGTGGTGAATATTGCTTGGATGATCTTGCTCTTCAAATTCCGGTTTAGGGCCTGTAATTTCACTGTGTACTGGGTGGATGGACTCAGCTCTGACAAGCTGTAGGAATTCGACTCAGGTCCCAGGATAACTTCCTGCAGGGTGGGGGGAATCAATAATGAATGGAGGGTGAATGAATTAAGAATGAAGACTTGTTTCATTTTTTACATGTTGTTGAATCATTCATGCTAAGAAAACAGTGTCAAAGATTGATGAGGCCATTTCTGTTCCTGATAAGATCTTCCCACACCACACCACATTAGAAGCAATGGAATGGTTTCCTTAAGATAAATCTTTCATACAAGAATATGCTGGTGGCATAGCTAGAAAGCAAGGTTAGTGTTGGTATGAACATGGCTGATACATGCACTAAGCACAGCAGCATATTTGGAGCACATCAAATATGTATCCCCTACTGTGGCATCTCTATGAACACGACTGCACTAAATAGAGGGGATGTTTCTGCTGCCCAAACTCATCATGTCTTAGACACCCATTGAAAATGGTCTCAAAGGGCATTTGCTGGCAGGTAATTTGGCTGTGCAATGCCAGGCTTTTTATGAAAAAGCATGGATGTGAGAAGGGCAGTACCCCCCCCCCCGGCTATTTTCAGGGGTGTGGTGAATTTTGAGTACAGGGGTTCAAAACATTGGGTTGTGTCCAATATTATTTTCATTCAGTGAAGACCCATTGAAATTAATGGTCATGACAAACTTAGGCTGATTGGTTTCAATGGGATCTAGTCTGAGTGGAACTGGCATTGGATACAACCATAATTAACACACACACACACACACACACACACACACACACACCCAGTATCGGAAATAGAAGGGCAATTGATGTAGATCTCCTGTTCACAGAAGGAACACAGAAAGCTCCTATATATCATTGGCCCTGTGAAATGCTGATTGATTGCAGCTCTATGGGGCCTTCTGACAGGGATTCTTGTCAGGCTTATATGGGAACCTGGGAACTTTTACAAACAAACCATGTGCTCTAAGGCTGCATTCACACAGCAGTATACTCCATTTCCCTAACATTTCCCAAATTGTTAATTCTCACATTATACTTGAGCCTTCACACAATGCAAGAGCTGGAAAACTAATGGAAGATAGCACATGTTCATTTCCATTTGATTCCACCTTGAAAATTGTGAGATAAAGTGACAGAATTGGGGGCAGTGTACGGGCATACAGATCTTTCCTGTGGTTTTCATGAGGGGCACTTTGGTGGTGGAACGAGGGTGACGACCAGCCCTCCTTTGATAAAATTATTGTTCTAATGGAGAAAGAGTTTTAACTTGGGTGGGTGTTGTCTTATGGGGGGGGGAGGTTGTTTTAAATTGTTTTTAAATGTTATATATTAATTTAGATTTTGTATTTGTATTTGGGGTTGGTGTATTGTTTAGGGGCCTTTGTTGAGGAGTGTATTTTTTATTATTATTGTTAATTGTTTTAATTATTTTTATTATGCATGTTGTGCTTTTTATACTGTAACTTCATGTTGTGAACTGCCCCAAGACCTCTGGGTATAGGGCAATATGCAAAGCAAACGAACAGTCATGGGGAGACAAAAGCAGGCATGTGCAGAAAGGGTAAAGGAGTACAGTCATACCTCGGGTTACAGACACATCAGGTTGTGTGTTTTTGGGTTGCGCACTGCATCGAACCTGGAAGTACCGAAACGGGTTACTTCCAGGTTTTGGCACTTTGCGCATGTGCAGAAGTGCCGAATTGTGACCCATGCATGTGCAGATGTGGCGCTGCAGGTTGCAAACACTGCAGGTTGCGAACATGCCTCCTGCATGGATCACGTTCGCAACCTGAGCGTCCACTGTAGTGATCTTGTCTAACAACATTCATTGTTGTGTCACACCATGCTCAGTGATGCGAATGAAATTTATTGCAACATGCTGGTATATCAGTCTAAAACTTATAGTTCCATAATGCACGAGCCACCGCAGTGTGAAAGACACATTAGAAAACAGACAGAAGTGCTGTCATTATAATCAGAGGGAAACTTAATGCATGTCTGAACGCATCCTTAATATCTGGGTCCTCCCCTTTGCAGTCTGCACATGACAGAGACTATCATACCAGACCCAAATGCTTACCTTAACTTTGCCATCAATTGATTCATAGATCAAGAGGTAACCTGTAACAGGGGCACGAGGGGGCTTCCATGTTAGCTGTGCTGTTTCAAACTGAACATCAGTTGCAGTGAGATCCCTTGGAGCATCAAGGTCTAGGAGAAAGATGAGAAGTTTTTATTTTTTGTTTCAAATATATTTTAATATAAAGATCAGTCTGCCTGGTGCCTTCCAGATGTTTTGGACCACAGCTGCCATTGACTCAAGGCAGCATGAACAATAGTCAAGGATGTTAAGAGTCATAGTCCAAAAAAACTGGAAGGAACAAGGTTGGAAAAGATATGTATAGGAACCAACTCATGCAGACTCAGCCCTCCCTTCTGAGAATCCAAAGTCAGTGCAATATACTTGTTTTAGGACCACAAGCTTCATCAGTAACCTATGATAGAACAGAACCTACCTGTAGTGAATTTGGTGGATATGACTGTGCTTTTCTGTGGTCCCTTCGTGGCATAGATCCGGAGTGTATATTCAGAGGCTGGACGGAGGCCAGTGAGATCATATTCCACAGTATTGCCTGAGACACTCTGAGTAATTTCACGCTCTAAAACAACAAAGAAAGAACATCGATCAACGAGCAACTTGGATTCAGCAGGTGCATTTGTTGAACCATAGAATCCTAGAATTGTAGAGCTGAAAGAGACTCTAAGGATAATCTAGTCCAACCCCCTGTAGTGCAGGAAGATGCAGCTGTCCCATACAGGGATCGAACCTTCAACCTTGGCATTATTATCACAGCGCTCTAAGTTAATGGTATATTGGATTCACTGCTTTTGCAAAGCATGTGTTGCTCCTCTTAGCTAATTTTGGCCACCCTATATAGAGAAGAGGACTCTGCAACAAAGCCCACTTGGATGAGAGAGTTTGTTGAACTTCATCCCTGCAATTCTATTTTCTTTCTTAGAAACATCTCAAACCCATCTCCCATCATAAGATCTTAGGTCAGGATACAATGCAAATTACAATTCACAATGAACCAATCTGGATCACAAATGAACTTGCCAAAAAAAGCAGGCTACAAATACAACAAACACCTTTAAAGTTTCAAATGTATTTAAGTTTCCACTATAACTTAACATGGCTACTCTTCTGCAATTTATGGGTTGTAGCCAACATTGGTCCTACTCAGAGTAGACCCATTGAAACATGGCCATTGCTAAATTAGGTGCATTAATTTCAATGGGTTTACTCCAAGGACAACCCAACAATTTTAGGAGAGCTCCATGACAGAGTTAGCAAAAAGCAAATAGTGCAATTGTGGCTGGTGTCCATTGGTACTGGTAGGGCAGATAGGAGGGAGGTCAACAGGAGGTGAACCCAGGGCCAATGACAGACTGAGACATCCCCTCGAGTGGTTGTAGGTAAGAAGAAAATTCCACAACTGTTTGCATTAAAAAATAAATAAATCCTCATCTGCATGGTAGTGTGAATTTCTCCAAATATACACATTTTGTATTCAGTTTTGCCAGACACACATTTTTACAAAGCAATCTCCCCTGACATAATGCATTTTTGTTGGTTGTTATTTGTATATACACTATTCCCCCCCAGCATCTGCATTTTTAGTACGCATTTCTTGGCTGGAGACCTGCATTGCAAAATCTAGAGGATTGCAGATTTTAAAATATGACTTTGTTTCAGTTCACATGCTATTTCAGAAAGTGCAAATTTGGTAGTTTTGACTTTAAAATTGGATCACATTTCTCCCCCAGCCCCCAGCCTTACTTCAAAGCAATGTTGACTTACCACCCTCAGTAACGTAGGAAATGATGTACTCATCAACAGCAGCAATTGCCGGCTGCCAAACAGCCAGTGCTTTGGAATCAGTGATGTTCACTGCCATTAGCCCTGATGGACTATCCAGAGCTACAGAGTGGGAGACAGACAGAGATAGAATGTCACAATCTGCCTTGGTACCACTTGCTACAACACCTGTGTGGTGTCATCTGTATTACTTCCTTCAAATCCCTCCTGAAAAAGGGATTTTCTGTCAAGGATAGCCCTCTAGTTCCCAGTAATGCAGGGGGTAACTAAGTCTAAACGTATACAACTGTAATGGCCATATCTTGCTCCCTTGTTTCTCCCAGTCTTTCTTCCCCTTTCTCCATTGTTTCCTCTGTGTCAAATTTTAGGCTGTAAGCTCCTTAGGACAGGGATCCGCCCTTTTGTACTCTCTAAAGCAATTGTGAGGAATCTCCAGTCCGCAGGCCTAATAAAGCCACTTCACCCAAATCATGCACACCTGGCATTATATGTTACACCAAATAGCTGAAAAAGAACAACCAGGAACCTTAAAATGAACTCTTCATTTTTTTCATGGTAAGCAGGGCTTTTGCTACCAAGCCCCAATGTGGCTGGCTGCACTCAAAAGTGGAACTGTTCCCTGCCCCTAAACTATGTCTGCCTGCAACCCCACATTGGCAGGTATCTTCCTTTGCAATCTCGCTTGAGTCCAAAGGAAAGAATCAGGAGCACACCTATGGTAACCAGACATCAGGTGTTTGACAGTGGTCAGCCCTATCTTTTTCTCAAAGTGGCCCACCAGGAGACAGGAGCTCTGGATCCTGTTCCCTACTCTTGTTGTAAAGCATCCTGGCTACTGATCACTTAATTACCATCAACTTCTGGGACATACCTGTGGTCACAGATCCAGAAACAGGCTCACTTTCTTCAAATCCTTTGACAGAGATGATACTGACAATGTACTCCACGCCAGGGATCAGTTTTACCAGTTTAGTTCTACTCTTGCTTCCATCTACTGTCACATAATTGGGGGGACCTGGAATAGAGAGTAGCTTGGATGACTGGTGGGACTAAGTGTGCAAGGTTCAGAAACCAGAAGCAAAGGCTTAAGTATTTTGTCTCCAACATTCACAATACGTTACCAGCCATAAGAGAACATAAGAGCCCTGCTGCATCAGCCAAAGGCCCATCTAGTCCAGCATCCTGTTCTCAGTGACCAATAAGATGTTTCTGAGAAGCCTACAAGAAATATATGAGCACAACAGCTCTTTCCCTACTCCTCTTCCACAGCAACTGGTATTCAGATGCATACTGCAACTAGCACTGGGGGTAGTACACAGCCTCATGGGTATGAATTTGTCTAATCTCCCCTTAAAGCCATCCAAGTGGGTGGCTTTCACAACATCTTCTGGTTGCACATTCCATAGTTCCTTTATGCACCATGAGAAGAAGTGTTTTCTTTTGTCTGTTCTGAACCTCCCAACATCCAGCTTCATTGGTATTATGAAAAAGGTAGAAACGTTATTTCATCCCAAGGGTCATAGTCTTCCTCGGGCAACCTTGGGGGGTAGGGAGGCACATGCCAGCAGAGGATGGGGTCAGAGACAAAAGTAGACAAAGCAACAAATGCAAATCTTATCTTACACACATGCCATCTCTCTCTATGCTGCATCCAGGCAAGCAAGAGAAATGATCACAGTTCATGAACACTTTTAAGTCAGGCAAAACCATTCATGAAGGGCATAGATAAGTGCTGGTGGGAGATTGGGAGATTCTGAGGGCCAGGCATTTGGCCACCTCCAGGCCTCTGTTTCCCCTCCTCTGGCCCATCCCTGTTCATACACCCTTCTTCTTCCTTACCTCCTGTAACTGGAACATAGGTAATCCGGAAGAGGTCCACCCTTGTCCGTGGGGGTGTCCAACTGACCACAGCTGAGTCTTCGGTAATATCAGAGAATGTAATTTCCTTGGGAGGTCCCATTGCTAACCAAGAGACAGACAGTAAGGCAAACAAAGAGAAGGAGTTAACAAATTGTTGCATCAGCCAGGCTGGTAGGGAAAAAACCACACACACACTTGGTCTCAGATTTCCAGTCCAGGAGCTACAATAAATATTTGGTCCAGTGTCATGACTGGAATGGAAAGTTCCATACCACAAAGTGTTTTTACTTGGCACAGGCAAATGATTGTCTTCATGGCCAAGTTCTTGTTTTTGACAAGGATCTTGGAGTTGTAGTCAACACTGCACACACCTCCGCACCCCCTGAACCCCCAAAAAGAATTGTAATGCTCAAATCCCAAGACACCTTCTGCCAGGAGACGACATCGGGATAGCAAATGCTGCACTCAAAATGGATCATTTGTGGTCTTTGACAGTATGTCAGGTGCCATAGCTCTTGCTGAGAGATCCATGTGTTCCCAGCAGTGAACATGGAGCTCTTGTATTGGGGAAGCCTCTGCACATTTATGCTCCAGGGCCTGGCTATCAACTTTCCCTTCTTTAGTTTCAGTATTACCCTTTTATAGAACTCAAGGGGTGGGGCCTAAACTGGAATTAGTCCTCATCTGCAGTATTCACTTAAAGCAGTACCATAGAAGCATAGAACTGTAGAGTTGGAAGGGACCCTGAGGGTCATCTAGTCCAACCCACTGCAATGCAGGAACATGCAGATGTTCCCTACGGGGATCAAACCTGCATCCTTGGCATTATCAGCACCACACTCTAACCAACTGTGTCATCTGGTGATTAGCGTACCATCCCACTTTACACAGTCATGGTTTCCTCCAAAGAATCCTGGGGACAGCAGTCTGTTAAGGCTGCTGGAGGTTGTCAGGAGACCCCCTTCACAGAGCTACAATACCCAAATTTCCCCTGGAAGAGTGATTGCTAAACCACTTTTAGAACTGTAGTTCTGTGAGCGGGCAAGGCATCTCCTAGGCACCTCACAGCACCTCCAACACGCTAGTGTTACCAGGATTATTTGGGGTAAGTCATGACTGTGCATTCACACACACACACCTAGGAGTTTCCAGTGGAAATGTAGATTGGACAGGGCATATAGTCATTATGTTTCCGTTTCCCAGCTTTATGCCTTCATAGCATTGTTGGGGCATTTTTGTCACAATGTTTATGCTGATGATTGGCATCAGATGTAGATACTCTTTGAATAGGGGGAAAAAATGTGGCTGATGTAAATCTGTCAGTTTTGTGTACATCCTGCCCTCTTCCCCTTGGTTAGATGTCCCTGCTTACTCATTGCAGATAATGATAAAACCATGTGCAAATCAAAGCTGTTCAAGTTTACATGTCAAGATTTTTGCTACGGGTCTTACATTTCTTTTGGCAGGTCAACTTGCAAAAGGGAAATAAAATGGAAGAGCTTTCCAACACCCAGAAGAAGAAAAAAAATCTGGCAGCCCAGTATGTACATTCAGCCTTTTAACTGTAAATAGATGATTTCCCCCCAGTTGCAATGAAAACAACATCAGGGTTGTTGTTTTTTTGAATAAAAAATAAAAAATAAGCAACCCACACAAGAGATGTCCATTAGCAAGCAAGAGACAAATACCAGAAGCAAATCACATTCAAATAATCTAATAAGACATGCAAGTTAAAGTTCAACTAATTTTTTCTTCTTCTAAATTTTGAGGATGTATGTGCTTTCCTAATTCGACTTTGCTTACAAAACCCAATTCTGAAACATCTTCAGCATTTCAAGATTTGTAAGGAAAGAATGAGAAAAAGCTGTCCTAAGGGCTGATGGGTGTTGGAGTCCAACAGCATCTGGACCTATCCACCTATCCCTGTTCTATCCTTCCCAGTCCAAAACTCAGTGCAGCAGGGCCCTCCAGGTGTTGCAGGTTTCTTTATCTCCCTTTGGGGAAATCTTTTTTGCATTAGCATCAAAATTTGGGTGTATTGACAGACCGAAAGGCATAAAATCAAAAGCTAATTACATGTCACTCATGCATCATGAGGACCACGATTCCTTGAAGCTCTCTGAATTGCTGCACTATAAGCAATGTTGTTGGAGATTTTAATGGACTTTTTCCTGTTACCAACTTACAGAATTAAATCCTGGGCTCCTAAGTCATTCTGAAAAGGGCTGACTAAGATTCTGTCACTGATGATAGAGATGGTGGGAAGGAGGCACTGTAACAGCTAATAGATATTTATCATGGAGAAAAGCTGTATCATAGTGGCAAAGCATGCAGAAGGACCTAGGTTCAATCCAAGGCATCACCAAGTAGGGATTGGAATGTCTCTTGCCTGAAACCCCAGATAGCTGCTGCCAGTAAATGCAGACTGGGGTGTGAAACCTTTTTGGTGTAGCAGGTCAGATCCTTCTCTCTCTCCAGCCCATGGGTCAACTCTGACAGGTGGGCAGGAGCACCGACATGTCAGTCACCTTGCACCATAATAACATTGACTGATTGACTTGTAGGTGTTCCTTCCAACCTGTTAAAAGCTGGCCTATGGAGTGGGGAAGAGATAGTGATAAAACATAGGACTGAACTTCCTACGACATCAGGTGTGGTCCAAGTGGGCATGGTTGGAGGAAAATGATCTTGTGGTTCAAATGGGGAGGCCTGGTAGGTTAAATGTGGCCCCTGAGCCAGAGGTTCCTCAACTCTGGTGAAGACAATACTGAGTAGATGGACCATGGTCTGAGTTGGTACAGGACAGTTTCCTATGCTTAACAAGTAAAGCCACTTCGAAATAGCTGTTCTCTTTGCATGAGTTGGTCTGTGTGAAGACCTACTGACCAGTGATGGATGCATGTTCCAACAAGGATTCCACAGACGTTACACCCATTTTTGTACTTTCCAATTTTTTATGGTATGAAAAGCTAGCATTGCTTGCAGCTAAATTTTATCCTTTGGAATTAATGTACTTAAATTAGTCATGTCCATCAGTTCCAAAGCCTCTGCTTTGAGTAGGACTAACACTGGATAATACTCCTTAGTTCAGAATGACAGTTGGGCTCACATGATGGGATGCTCCTTCACCTTAAAAAATAAAGAAACAAGACCCTGCATATGGAAATGTAGCGTGTCAAGAAGAAAGGTACAGATGTGAAAGACACATGCACACATATGCAGGTGAGTGGATCATGCCTTTCTCATCCTTGCCACACTTTATCCAAACAATACCTGTTGTAGCGATTGCATTTACAGGTTGGGAACGTTGTCCACTGGTAACTCCATAGAGATCAATGTAATATCCTGTGCCTTCTTTCAGCCCTATTATATCTTGGGTGCGTTCATGGCCTGGTACAATTAGTTCCAGAGGGTCTGATACCATATTGGTGTCCCTTATTTTAAGAACAAAACTGTCAAAGGCTCCATCATCTGCCGTCCAAGACAGACGAAAGCCATCAGGGGTTGCATCTGACACCAGAAGGTTGTCCACTTCAGGTTCTGCTTCTGAAAGTGCAAGAGGGAGAGAAAGAGAAAGAAAGAAAGCAAGAGAGGGAGAAATAAGATTTTTAATTTCCTTTAAAAGAAGAAAAAGGAGGAGACTCCAAGGAGATTTGCCCCAAGTCAGATTAGCGTATGATGTAAATGTTCCCGTCACAAATTCAAAGAAGTGGAAAGAATCCGCTATCCAAAAAAAGGGGGGGAAATGCATTCAGAGATTATGAGCAAGACACATTCTTATCAAAATATGTGGGTGTAGGTGCGATCACTCTTCAAGGACCCCCAAAGCAGCATGGCATTATCACTCACCATCTCCCCCTGCCATGCAATATTAAAACATGCTGGTAGTAAGCCTGATGTTCATTCGTTCTCTGTCTTCCATCAGAATCTCCTATTTTTCTGCTGATTTTTTTAAAGAAGGTCATTAAAAGCAAAGCCACTGTAAATTATCTGAACATTGTCGTTTTCCCAGGTTCACATCAAAGCACGCCTTTGAACAAAACAACCTATTCTTCCAATTCACAAATTATAGTAAGTTTGTAGCCCCTTTAGTCCAGCTCCCCTGATCCGGTGGTGGCTGGTGGCACAGAAGACGAGGCTAACAGTAGGTGGAGGTGAAGCCAATGATATGCTGAGTCAACTTATTTCAGTTTTGTTCCCAACCTCCTCACTGTTGAGTTCTGCAAGGCTAACATTGATACTGGTCATAAGCAAGAAGGCAGGCAGGTGGGGATAGCTGAGGGTTGTGGGGCACTGTCTTATTGAACCACCCCTTCTGCTCTATCCATACAGAAAATGTAGGGCAGGAGTGGGGAGCTTCTGCAGCTCTCCTGATGTTGTTGGGCTACTAATCCCTGTTGGCCATGCTGTATGGGACTAATGGGAGCTGAAGTCTAATAACATTTGGAGGGGCAGAGGTTTTTCATCCCTGAGCAGATGACTCTCGACTGAGGGAGAGCCTAACCAATTCCCTAGAAAGCTGGTTCTATTGTTGAGCTGCTTTCCCCTAGCAAGATGTTTTCCTATTGCTTATCTGAAACCTGATCTCCTGTAACATAAGCACAAAGTTCTAGTTCTTTTCTCTGAAGCAGATGAGAATAAATTTTTGCTCTCTTCTATGTAGCACCTCTTCAGACAAATCTGATTCACATGGTGCATGTTTGACACCTGACTGAAGCAATTTGATTAGTGATTTAACTGGAATACTAGGTTCATATTATGCATGTGCCCAGCTTGTAATGAGCATCTGGATCTCAAGATGAGCATAGTTCCAGGTGCCCCAGGTGAAAAAGCTCTTATCTGGCTGTAGCATGTCCTTCCCTCCCTGGTGCCAAAATTAGAACTGGGTCAGGCCATCACAAACTAACCTTCCAGGTACATAGGCAGCACACATGTTTGTAGTGAACTAGTTTGGTTTAAGTAGTTTGGTTTCACTGAACTTGTTAGAAAAAACCCTTCTGAACCACACCTAAAAGTGGTCCTCAAAAATGCCAGGTGAACTAAACATGAATTAAGTTCATTTGGGGGTAGAAACTTTGAACAATTTCTAGTTCTTCAGATTTATTTTCTTACATGTGGGTTTTGTTTGTTTATTTACTCTTTGGGCCTTTAAACGTAAAGATCACAGTTGGGGTAAATAAACCAAACAACTCACAGTCTACTGTGTGTGTGTTTTGATGTCTTCTTAGTCTTAAATATATTGTATACTTCAGTCCTGCAGCTTGGGAATGCTGATTTTTTCTCTTTTTGCTGAGGGTTACTTTGGATGAACTTAGATGGAACTGTGAACTGAACATGAACTGAACTAGCTCATTTTGTAAAGGAACATATGTGAACTGGAATTAGTTCCTCTGGGGACATAATAGTTCCCAAGCCCATCTGGCTGGCTAGTGGAAAGAGATAACTTGGCTCTATGGCTAGTGGAAAGAGATATCTTGGCTATATGGACTTTTGGTCTGATGCAGCAGTGCACTTGTTGCACTTTTACAGGTGGAAGGAACTAAATAAAGCTGTATCACTGTTTAGCCATGCACGCTTCAAAAGCTACCAAGATTGCTGAAGCATCAATTTTCTTCCACCTTCCGGAGCTGTGTTTACTTAGCAAGACATTCTGAGATAATGAAAGAGAGATGGAGAGAGAGAACAGAAAGGCTACAAGTAAATGTGGGTGGATGTCAAATAATGCTGCTAAGGATTGGAAAAATCCTTAGTTTCTTGGCTAGGAATTGAATTAATATGGTGGTTTTTTTAAAGGATTAAACACAGAGAGAGAGAGAGAGAGAGAGAGAGAGAGAGAGAGAGAGAAGGAAGGTCAAGAGCTTCTTGCAGGGTTCTACAAGGGGCAACACTAAAGAGACTAAAACACTGAAACCCCCTGGACTGGTTGCAAGAAAGAAGATAGGGAGGTGGGTGCTGGCTAAGTGCAGACTGAGGTTGGTGGGGCAATGCAGTGATGGGTATGATCCTCACACAGTCTCACATGCACATACAAAGGACATACACAGGCAGACAACCTCCTCATCAGCTGAACAGAGCAGATCAGCTGAAGAGAGGGAATATTACTCCTGTCTATCCATTAAATGATCAATGTGATGGTAGGGAAGCATCTCCACCCATTCCAGTGCTGTGTCTACTTCTATTCCTTTCCTTTTGGCCATTGGTCTTGAGAGGGCAGGACAAATTATTTATAGAGGGCTAGATCATACCCTTGAACTAGGAGTTCGCTACTTGAGTGTGAAGGCACAAGCTACAACAACCTGGCTGCAGCTCAAAACCAGTCTAGGTCTATTTAGTGCCTAGATGGGAGATTGCCTAGGAATCCTATGTATGCTGTGCTGCATTGAGTTCTATGGAAGAAAGGCAATATATTAACCAACTAAGTAAAATCTTTCCCAATAGGATTCCAATGAAGCTGGATACCTTGGCTTACAAGGAATACGAAAGCTAAACTATGTATGCAAACTTAGATCATATTTGCCATCATTGCAGATCCTCTTGTATGAAGAAAATAGATCGGACTATCATGGAGAAGAGGTGTTTTAAGGAGTCCTGGAGTACTACTGAAAAATGTTCCAAGCATTAAGATTATTCTTCCTTCAGAAGTAAGTTCCTAACACGGATTTAAATCCTTGTTCAAAGCCACTACTGAAGCTTTCCAATGGAGACAATATGGTGGTGGGGCTAAGTTTAGTTAAATGGATATATTGATGGGTTTAGATGTGGGGTACCCTTCAGAATACTTGGTTGGCCATAATGTTCACTGCTGGTATTGTCCCTGTCATCATTTTGCAGAATGACCTAGCCCATAGGGAGTTTAACACTCATGGAGTTCTTGAAAGCTCAAGTTTTCTTGAAGTTAACCATATCTGTGAGCCTGATCAGTGTTTGGATAGGAACATTCTTCTCTTGCTGTGTACCTCATGCAATCTGCTTTTCCAAAAGTAGAATAAATAAACAAGGGAAGAGAAGTAGAATGTATAAACAAAGAGTCAATCAATGAGGATACATTGGAACTCCCCCTCTGGATAGGGGGTCAAAGACATCTGAACAAATCAACATCTGTTGGTTCTCTCAGTTTGGTTTTCCAAGAGATAGGGCATCCAAGAAAGAGAAGTATGGGAGTCATGTTAGTGGATGTGTCAGTAGCTAGTGATGAGGGAAACCATGGTTGGTCACCAAATGAGGCGTTAAAAAAAAAAGTGTCCAGAGGAAGGATGAAGAAAGTGTGCATTAGAGGTAGAGAACATTCCAGTTGCATTAAAATACCTGTTAGAGCAACAACACTTAAGGGCCTAGTTTGGCGACCATGAGCAAAACCGTAAAGCACAACCTCATAGCCAATGCCAGTTATGAGACCTCTAAGTGTCAGCTGACGCTGGGCTCCTGAGAGGAGGAACTCCTGGGGGTCCAGCAGTTTGCCAGAATCCACCACGATTATTAGAAAGCTGTCAAAGGCATTCTCTGATGCCATCCAGGACACTGTAAAGCCATATGGATTAATGCCTGAGACAGTGAGGTTTTCCAGTGGGGGCAAAGGCTCTGAAAGAAGGGGAAGGTGTGAAAAACACAAAGGAGAAAAAAAAAAGAGTTAGATAAGACAGTGCGTGTAACTTGATATCAACCACAGGTCTCCATGGGGGAGCAGGGGAAACTAGCAACTATTACAGTGTAGTATTAATGGTGAAATAATTGTATATAGTTTTCAAGGTAGATTCATACATGCATATCTATCACTCAGTGGGCTGTATCCAATGCCAGTCCTACTCAGTATAGACCTGTTGAAATCAAGGAACTGAATAATTTGGGTCTACTCTGAAGAGAACTTAGTTTGGGTACAATGCAATATCTCCAAGGATAGCACAGTCAAGCTTCATGATGTGGTCTATGTTAGCTGCATAAAGGGTTATGCTGCAGTTTGAGATCAGGTTATTAGAAGACCCATCAACACCTGCATGGACCTGTCCTAGTCATAACCGAGACTATGGAAGCTCTGCTTCAGTGCCTTCTAAGATCTATGGCCGTGTTTCCCAAACTTGGGTCTCCAGCTGTTTTGGGACTACAATTCCCACCATCCCTGACCACTGGTCCTGCTAGCTGGGGATGATGAGAGTTGTAGTCCAAAAACAGCTGGAGATGCAAGTTTGGGAAACCAAATCTATGAGGGTGGTAGACAAACTTCAGTGTGTTTACTCAGAAGTAAGTCTCAGTGTGGTCAATGGAACTTGCTTCCAAGTAATTGTGTATAGCAGCAGAGAACCTGTGGCTCTTTAGTTGTTAGACATCATCCCTGACAATTGGCCATGTTGGCTGGGATTGATGGCAATTTGAGCCCAACAATATCTGTCTAAAACCTCTGCAAAGGAGAATTTACCACCTTGCAAGGCAGTCCAAGATCTCATGACTACAATTACATGAAGATGGAGATCATATTAACCGTCAATGTTTTCTTCTCCAGACACATAGTAATATAAATTTAGTATTGTCCATTGCCTACTGCTGTTTGGTTTAAAACAAACAAACAGGCAACCCTCAATTGAAAGTCAATCAACTTTGCTCCACAAAGCTGTAATCCATCAACATTCTTAGATATGGGATATGCAGTACATGGTGAAAATGCCGCAATCATAATTGCCAATTCATTTAATCCAAATAGGAGGGGAATGGAAGGGGTGGGGGGAACAAACACCCAATGTCTTTTAAATGGGTACCTGTCATCAACAAAGAGATGAGAGACTCAGTGTGTCTCCCGCCTGTGGTTGTGCCCTGAATGTTAATGTCATAATCAGTATAATCTACTGAGCCTGAGACGAGAGTGTCATGAGCCTCTCCTGACACCGAAAGCTTCTGAGACTCCCGGAACAAATGGGAATCTCTAACATTTACAGCCAACTTTGCAAAAGGCCCATCTCTTGTGGTCCAGGAGAGGTTGAATGTGTTGGCCTTAGCATTTGTGAGTGTAAGCATGCCCAGCTGTGGTTCGACCTCTGAAGAAAAAGGGAACACAAAAAGTGGAAAGAGAAAAGCATTACTGGTTGGCAGCCATGTGGTGGTAGAGAAAACAGAAGGTGCATCACTTAATCAACAACATGTGAGGTTCTCCACCCCCGGCACAAAACCACTAAGTCCAGAGTATAAAAATGACATAAGTTGCATCAATGGATGGTCTGCTCATTTAGGAGAGCCCCCCAATAAGTCTCCCTTCTCTTTCCGCAAGGTAAGATGTTTTAATTTTTGCCTCAGGAATGGAAGGGAGAAAAATGGATGTGAGCAGGGACCAAAGCAGAACTGAAGCAGGTGCCAGCTCCCAAGAAGCTGTGCTTGCCTCAGCACTGCTTACTGCATGTGTGAAACCTAACCGACCCCAATTAAGGACTCATGCTAGAACTGCCCTCATGCTGCCATATGGTGACAAAGCAGTGTTGGCATGGTTTTGTAATGCTCATGTGCCTTTAAAGAAACAAGCTCAATGTGATCTCATGATCACCTGAAGATGGTGGAATGTACAGCAACACAGAAGACAGATATAGCACCACCAGACTTAACATGCAAGTTTGAAATAGTTTCCCCAACATTTCTCCACCACTTGGACATTGTCAAAGCATGCTTTTCCGGTCAGATCAGGCATAGCCCTTGGAACTTAAAAGCTCCTGCATGCAACGCAAAATGAAAGAATCCTGTCAGGCAAGACATACAGTAGGATCTTGGTTACCCTGGAGGTGCCTTTGTTAGCAAAACACGCTGGCATCTTGTGGAAGGTATGTTATCATCCTAACCCCAATCAAGGATGATTGGTAGAAGTGACTGTATACTTGGGCTGGAAGCTCAAGAAAGAGATGGGCTTTGCTTTTCCATTCCAAGTATTGACTCAGCATAATAATATATGCAGAGATGCCAGACAGATGAGACTCTTGATATGTTTAATGGTATTGGTACCAACCATGCAGCTTCCCACCTCTCTTTGGTTGATACATTGCAATACTGAAAATATAAGTAACTGAGGTGTCTTCTAGGTCCAACAGCAGAACACTGATATGTGCCATCATAAAGCAAGGTGGCATGCAAAGATTTATCTCTCAGGATGACAAGAACTGTGGGATAGCAAGGCCTCATGATGAAAACATCAAGGCAGGAAGAAGAAAGACAGAAGAAGTGCAATGATGGTCAGTGATGGGAGATCAGATGCAGTGATGCTCTAGAAAAATGTCTGCTGGAACAAGTACATACACATATATTTATATATGCATATATGTATGTTGTAAGTAGCACACACACATACACACACATATGTGATGTAGATTAGCATGTGTGCATATACAGAAGAAGTCCTTAATTGTTGGGACACAACAGTTGTAACAATATTGTCCTCCTTTCAGGTTTACTCCGGTTCTGAGAAATAAGCACCCTTTCTAAATTAAGACAGGAAGGAAAATATCATACTTGGGGAAACTGCACTTATGAGTAAAAGGAATCAGAGAAAAGGCGAATCTTGGAGGTGATATACCTGTGGTAGCCCATGTCGTCAAGGTCTGGCTACTTTGCCCATCAACCAAGCCATGAAGCTGGAGGGTATAATTAGAGTTCGGTCTGAGATTGATGAGGACAAAGCTCCGAGAGTCCCCCGGCACTGTGTGCTGCTGGGAGTCCAGAGACTGGTTGTTGGTGTTTCTAACATCTAAGAGGAAATGGTCAAAGGCAACGTCCTGCGCTTCCCACATGAGGGACAGGCTGTCAGAGGAAGTATCTGAAACTGTGAGTTTGCTAAGGAGATGTGCGGTTACTATGAGGAAAAAACACATTGGAATAAACATGGGCAAAACTTCCAAGGTGGAATACAATAACAGAAGAACTCAAGGATGCAGAAGAAACATGCCCGGTGGAATCCTACCTGTAAACTTTGGGTTGTATCCGGCTAAATCCTACTGAGCATAGATCCATTGAATTTAATAGACTTGTTAGTCACTGGGTCTACTCTGAGTAGAGCTAACATTTAAAGCAACCTTTAAAGGGTGCTTTTTGGTTGTCCAACTTATACAATGGCAAAAATACAGGAAAGCAGTAGGTAGCATTGAGACGACTAGGACTGGAAAATGAATCAGTTTTAAAGAGATATATACACAGAATTCTAACCCACGGGCTTTTCTCACATTGAACTGCCTCTTGTATTGAGAACCTACTCCTGTCTAAACTATGTGCACTGTTGGTTTGTTTGTTGTTTTAAAAAGTCTGGATAATTATATGCAAAATTTTGTTTAAAAATACATTTATGCATATATTTGTGACAATACCCATAAAATGACAAGCCTCATGCTGTACTCTGTTTCCTCTGTTTCCTCTTATACGTATATTGAAACATATGCATTTTGATACCAACATGGTGCTCTCCAGGTTTTGTTGGACTACTAGTCCCCCATAGACTGTGCTGGCTGAGACTGCTTTATAGAGTTATGTGTGTTGCTGTGTCTATTTATGTGCAGGTTACTTCAGTAAATCTTTAGTAAATCGGGGGGGGGGTATATAGTATGTGTATAATATTATATGTATGGGAAACTTCATAACTTCATATTTTTAGTGAAACTGGGGTGGGTGGAGACTTTATTGTTAAGATTAAGGCCCCACCTGCACTACACATTTTTAACACATCAAGGGTGCCAAGAATTGTTAAGAGACCTCTATTCTCTTCACAGAGATACAATTCCCAGAGTTCCCTGGGAACAGCGATTTGTTGTTACACTCATTAGTTCTTCCCATGTATAACCAACATCTGCAAGGGGCTACAGGAGATGCTAGATACGGCTACATATATTTAGCACACTTTCCATTCTCTTCCCTATGAAACTTTGGAGGATCAATGGAAAGTATAATATACCTTAGAAAAAACTACTTAGAAATTTCCCAAGTCCATCAAAATAGGATATTGCGATGGAATAACAAACTTTTCTCTTCTCATTTCCCCTTAAAGTGGATGTGTTCTACACTTCTAGAAAAAATGGCTGCTTTTCTTCATGGAACATAATAAAATCTCTGCTGCACCACAGCAAAGTCCCAAAATTTAAATAGGCATTGAGTGAATTATTATTATTGGTCCTAAATCTGCCACCAGCCATCTTAACCAGATAACCCTTACTTTCAGTGTTGATAAGAGAGGAAGAAAAACTTATCTCTGTTACAAAATTGTAAGAAGAGCTCTATTGGATTAAAGCCAAAGGCCTACCATAGTCCACCATCATGTTAACACAATCTGTGATTCCCCACGACTAGTATTCAGAGGCATACAGACTAGAGGGAGAACTTGGCCATTGTGCCTCATGATAGTCTTACCCTCCATGAATTTGTGTACTCCTCTTTTAAAGCCATCTGAGTTGGTGGCCATCGTTACCTCTTTCATAGTTAAACAATGACGTTAAAAGTGGCATACACAAATAGTTAATTTTCCTCTTTATTGCCCCTTCTCCCTACAAAAAAAAAAAGCCCATGAAAAAAGCTCCAAATATCTTTTCATGTAAGGGAACACTTCAGCACACTTACAATTTTGCTTGTCCATTTCTGCAATTCACCAGAAGGCAATAGGAAGTGTGAAAGAGTAAATGGTGCTGAGGTTAAGGACGGTCTTGAAAAGGAAACTGAATAACACATGATACACATGGGGTAGGATCATATACCTGTAGTAGCTGTAGCGCTTAATGCCTGAGTACGGAAACCACGAGTAACTCCATAGAGGTAGATAATGAAATTAGTTTTAGGGGACAGCCCTGAGATATGAGCAGCCTTTAAATGGCCTGAGATGTTGTATTCCATGGGTTCCAGCAACCTGTTGGAATCAATAATTTCAATGATAAAGCTCTCGAAGTTTCCTTTGGTGGTGATCCAGGAGAGATTGAAGCCTTCAGGGGTGATGCCCCAAACTGTTAAGTTGCTGACTTCGGGCTTCATCGCTGAAGAAGGGAAACAACATTGAATTTGATTTTAATTTTGATTTTAACTGAAAGTTCAAAGTCTGTTCTATTTGACTTCAAGTCCCGAGCTGAACAATGCAGGAGATGAAATGGGGGAGAGACCAGCTCAAGCAAGCAAATAAGGAAAGAAGCTAAAAGCCAATGCAAAATAGATGTCGAAGATAATCAAGGCCCCCATGCGTAGAAGCAGAATGCAGAGCAGCTCCCTAGGAATGATTTTGAGTCTTCTCCTATGCACAACTCTAGAGGGGAAAGTTGCAATAATATCCGCTAGATCACACACACACACAGCTGAGAGAAAACTCTCAGGAAATAGCTGCACATTTTTGAAACACTTGCAAATAAACTTTGTAAATACTGTACTGAGCTGATAGCATATGGAGGGGAAGAAGAGGCATATTATGCTGCCTGGAGATCTTCAGAATACAGATGATTATAAAAGAAATTAAATGCAGAGGAAAGTGCCTTTGAGCATAGATTTAGGACTATGGTTTTCATGCTGGAAGATTACTTTAATCTACAGCCAAGCCTCAGTTCCTTTCACTCAGTTCCTCAATATTCTGCTAGGGATGTTCTTCAAATAAGGAAAGCATCACAACTGATAAACCCCTGTCTCTGTTTTTTAGATGAAAATAGCAGGGAAGCAAGTAGCATGTCAATTGGTAGCTCTCCAGAAAGTGGTTCCACGGGTTACCATGAAATGAAATAGTCAACCTACAGGAGATTTGCTCGTCATTAGGGAGGGAGGGAGGGAAACAATGCAGGGTTGAGCAGATGCCATTCTCTCTCTTTCTGCAAAGGAAGGAAGGAAGGAAGGAAGGAAGGAAGGAAGGAAGGAAGGAAGGAAGCAAGCAAGAAATGGTGGCTGAAACAGGTGAGCAGATGCAAAAAAAGAGAAGAAGATACCTGTCATGGATTCAACTGAAAGGGGCTTTGTTCTGTAGCCCCGAGTCACACCATAGAGAGTGATAGTGTAAAGAGTGCTTGGCAGGAGGCCAGTAAGATTCGCAAATCGCAAATAGCCTGGGATGCTGATATTATGTCCATTTTCTGGCTGGTTTGGCTCCTGCACCTGCATGACAAAGTTCTCAAAGGCCCCTTCTCCAGCCGTCCAGGTGAGCTGGAATCCATCCCAGTGAACCTCTGAGACTGATAAATTCCCCAGCTCAGGCTCTTTTTCTAGATGTAAAGGACAGAGAGCCAAATTGGTTAATCAGATTTGAAAGTCAAAGCAAGCAAGCAAAGGAGTGATGAGGTACCGCCTGTCTCAAAGCTTTCATGGTAATGAGTTCCATTTTTACCTGGTTACGTATTTATGAGCCCATCTCCCTTTCACTTATACACACACTTCAGGAGCTATATGTCCTAGGAGACAACCTGGGGATAAGATTTCCAAAGGAGATTCAGGAACACAGCTGAGGAAGCAGACATCAGCAAAGCCACCTATAAACCTTGATAGCCTCAGTAAAGCTATAGCTTTCTAGCAAGCAAGAATATTAAGCTGTGGGATCTGAAAAGGCAATTCAGGGACTGATTTCCATCTGATATTCATTTTGTAAGACACACACATACAGTCTGCTGCTTTACAGTAAACCATTAACAATTCAATATTTGCTCCCCCAAAGCTATTACAGGAATGCAGTAACGAATGAGGTAAAGGAGGTAAATATTTTATTGTGGGGACCAAAGCCCCCACAGCCCCTAGAAGTTGACTCCTATGTTTTCAAGGAAGGGAGTGGATAGTGCTCCCTATATCTCCACATTAGTTGTCTTCTACTGGCAAGGGGAGAGAGTCCTGTTTTCATAGTGAACAGCAATTTCATATTTTCTCGGATACTGTGGTTAAATGGGTAAAATGCCATGCTTTCAACAACTAAGAAAACAGATTTTCCTAACATAATGCATTTCTGTATGTTATTTTCACTAATATGCATGCTCCTGCACACAGTATACTAGTATATGCATTTCTGTACAAAAATTTTTGGCTGGAGAACTACATCACAAGATTCAGAGCAGTATGAATTTTGATGGTTGTGCTTCAATTCACATTAATTTGGGAAAGTGTGAATTTGGCTGGTTTATCTTTAAATGCAAACTGAATCCAGTTTCTTCCCCATCCTAGTAACAACCCAGTGCATGATCTGTTTCTATAACATTGCCAAAGCAAAGCAGGCATGAGCTTGGACTGGGAGCTACATGTAGCTATTCTGAGCTCTCTAAAAGGAAGAATGGGGTAGAAATATAATAAATATGAGAAATATAGAGGCCTAGATGAGGCGACAGTAGCCAGACATAGCAGGTAGATTAAGAAAAGAATAAATACAGTGTTGAGTTAAGAGCTTCTTGGATGGACAACAGATATCTGGCTATAAACATTCCTTCCAAAAATGAAATTCCTCTATTTATTATACTCTAAGCAAAGCCTCCAGCTTCTGCTGCCCCCATTTCTATATATGGTTCCTATTGTTCATATTGAGAATATGAATGCTATAAAGAATTTAAATGTGATCCCTCACTGTTACTTCAGCCATAGCTCAGGGGGAGAACATCTGCCTTGCATGCAGAAGGTCCCAGATTCAACCCTGAACAATGAATGTGTCCTGTCTGGACAGCTATTACCAAGCAATTGGGATGCTAGATGGACCAATGGTCTGCTTCACTTTAGGGCAGCTTCCTATCTCCCTAAATCATACCAGATGGGAATGCTTTCCTGGATGCTGACTGGGGTGAATCTGCCTTCTTTACTACTTAAAGAGATGGACCTGAAACCTCAGGGAGTGGCTGTTGGTCAGTATTGACAACACAGGGCCTAGATGCAGTGGTTTTCTTTGTCCCAGGAATCAGCCAACCCTTTACAATGGAGCAGGAACTTCCTGCTGCTGAGGAGGTGAAGAGTATGAAGCAGTTTTACTGATGTTAATGAGAGCAAGTAGAACTTTGACTGTCTTTGTCTCAAATGGAACTATACTTCAGTTTGCCTGTGGTCCTTGAGCAGAAGGAGTTAACCAGAAGGAGACCCAGTGTGTCCTAGTGATTGGCATGCCAGAAAAAGGGTGGGGGAGACTCAGGTTCAAATCCTAAGCTGCAGCTATGAAGCTAAGTCTACCCTACCTCACAGGGATGTTGTGAAGACAACACTGGTGGGCAGGGAATGTGTGTCACCCTGAGCTTCAAGGAGGAAATGCAACTTAAATCCCTGTTGTTACAGTGGGATTTGAGACCATCTAACTTAATCTGGATCAGGGCCTTGGAACTATTCCTACCATTTCTTTTTCTAGGACCCAAATCCCACAAAACAAATCCAACTAAGCTCTGCTAAGAGTAGACCCACTAAAATCAATGTACCTAAGTTATTCATGCTCCTTATTTCCCAGAGTGTGACTGACATCGGCTGCAGCTCCTAAAAGCCCACTCAGGTTTTGCTTTGGAGGAATGCTATCAAATTGCCCCCGTCTTTGCTTCCATGGGTTGTTCCTGGGGGACATCAACTTAAGAATCACAGAGGCCAATTCAGAAGGCCAAGCCTGGGTTATTCAAGCTGCCTGATGCTAAAGGAATACAAAGGGACTTAGTGTCATTTAACAGCAGAAGGGGTGAAGCAACATGTCTTGTATGATTTGGCTCAGGATGGAAGATTCCTTGCCCACGTTAGAGGCAATCAAGGGAATATAATAAGGGAACAATCATCTCCCTGAGTCACATCCCAGCATCCTTCCGGGCCCTTGTTTGAATGGTCCTCCTGGTGCTTATATATTGGGATGAGGGCAACTTCACTTGGAGGCAGAGGGAGACAGAACAGTGGCTAGAAGTACTTTGATGCAAGAGTTCCTGTACTTATTATGGAGGGACCCCAGCAGCAGTGGAACCAACTTGGGCCCCAGGTTATGGGTGCCCAGTGCATGTAACGTCATGATGTCACGTTGCGATGTGATGTCATGACGTCAAACACATCCCCCGGCCTCAGAACCCGGAAGTCAGGTTCCGAGACCTCACAAGGCCTAGAAAAGCATCTCTGAGGTCTCACAAGGCCTCAGACATGACTTCCGGTGCTTCACGAGGCACTGGAAGTTGAGTCAGGGGCCCTGCGGTGTGGGTGCTCAGTCACCCAGAGCCCCCTATAGTTGGCGTCCCTGTCCAGCAGGAAGAGGTGGGTGGGTAAGAAATAACTCTGGGCTGACGATCACTGATAAATAAAAAACAAGAAAACCCTAGGGGGTTTAAGGCTTTGATGCCAGAAATGTCCAGATTTGGACATCTGAGCTCACTTGTTTATACAACTTTTGCTCAGACCTCGTTTATACAATCCCTAGAAGAATATGGAACACAGGAAGCTGACTTTTACTGTGTCAGACCTTTGGCCCATCTAACTCAGTATTGTCTACATAGTGTTGTGACCAATGTAAGTCCTATTCAGAGTAGACCTACTGTAATTAATGAGCATGACTAACTTGGATTCCTTGATCTAAATGGGCGTGCTCCCAGTTCAATACAACTCACTGACTGGCAACAGTTCTCCAGGGTTTCAGGCCAGAGCTTCTTATAGCCCCACCTGGAAATTCTGGGGGATTGGACCTGGGAATTTCTACATGCAAAGCATGTGCTCTACCACAGAGCTACAGCCCTTTCCCCTGGAAGATAGGAAGCTGCCTTATACAATTGCTCAGTCTAGCTCTGTATAGTTTACACTGGTAGTGGCTGTTCAGGACTTCAGGCAGGAGTCTCTCCCAGCCCTAGCTAGAGACGCCAGGGGTTGAATCTGCAGTCTTCTGCATGCAAATCAGGTGCCCTACCACTGAGCAGGAATGGGAATACCCCTCAGAATCTGGACCTTCCTCATATAGAAGTTGACAGATAAAACTAGGCAAGATGAGAGCAATGAATACCTTCCCACCATCCCTATCCACAATAGACCAATAATTTATTTCATGCAGAGAGATTCCAGTTATTTATAGCATGTGCATTTTTTAGAGTTTTGCCTTGGCAGATGGTTAAAAGAAACTGTCTGCCTTGAAATTTTCAAATGATCAGTATTGGATATGAGAATCTAAAAGAAAGCCCTTTCCCTTCCTTGTGGTCCCTAAGTACTCAATACCTAAATGGGGGAAATGTGGAGCATGTGCTAATTTGGGGAACATCTGCATTTCACTGTCCTGGGTTCTCAAAACCAGATGGGACTATAGAGGTGAAGAATAAACCTTCCATATGGTGTCAATGAGCTGCCCATGCCAGTCCCCCCCCATCAAAGAACTCTATTTTTTATTGCTGAAACATAAAAGGAACAATGGGGATTTCATTAACATCCAGACACTAATCTGAATATCAATGCACATCTTGTAAATATGTACAGAATGAAACTTTGATCTTGTTACTTCTTTAGCTGCACAGACCACCAAAACTGGAGCTAAAGACTTGGAATGGCTGGCTGGGAAACTCATACCTGAAAAGTTCTTTCCTAGAAAGAAGATGCTGTTATCATATTTATAGCTGCAAGCATTAATCAGATGTAAACTTGTGCCTTTGATGGTTTCTCTCCCAGGGAATGAGCTTTTGCATGACAAGTGCCATATTCACACCATACATTTAGAGCACTATAGCACCATGTTAAACAGTCATAGCTTCCCTCAAAGCTACCAGTCCCAGACTTCCCAGTGAAGAGAGGTTGATTGTTAGACCACTCTAGAAGCTGTAGCTCTGCAAGGGAACTAGGGGGTCTCCTAACAACTGTCAGCACCCATTATGAATTACAGTTCCCAGATTGTTTTTAAAGTGGCTATTTAAAGTTGCATTTAAGGTGTGAATAGGGCTAAGGTTCAGTCTGTCCCTAACCTGTCCCAAGTCAATCTAGAAGACTATTTAATGTGACAACTTGCATCGCCATGCAAATAACCGCACAGTGTCCTGGTTCCATCCTTTGCAAAAGAGGCATATTACAGGGCTCATCTTTGGGGTCAAAACACATTTGCTGCTCATGTGCCTGACCACTGGAACTCTTGAAACATTAAAATGATGCAAACATAAGCTGGAGCAAGAGGGAAGTGGGGCTGATTGCAAAAAAGGCATATTATGGGCTGCCTATCTTTTTTTTTTTTGTGCCTGCTGTACCCACACCCCATAGGAATTTAAGCCTACAATTTGGATGGTGGCATGAACTGAAGGGTCAGAGCCAAAGGGTCAGTGTACAAGGGGCTATTGGCTTCAGGCCCTCAGCCATGGGCTGGAAACCATTGTGCAATCCAAGAACCTGTTTGGGGAGATGCAAACACAAAGGCACGTACCAGTAGAGCCAACCACTGTTGCAGGCTTGCTCTTGTGCCTGCCCTTCTCTGCCACAAGGTTGATGGTGTACTCTGTCCCAGCACCTAGGGACCTTAGGATGTGAGACGTGCTATCGGCAGGAATCTCCATTTCATTCTTCCTCCCATCAGGGGTCATGTAAGTAAGGCGATAGCGGTCAATTTTAGCCCGGGGTATTTTCCACCGCAAAGTGAGAGTTGTCTCGGTAGGATCAGTGATTTCCAAGTCCTTGGGACGATCCAGATCTGTGTGCAAAGAGAAATAAGAGAATTGTAGAGTTGGGGGACCATTTTGGGCCACGTAGACCAATCGATTTAACAAGACTCAGTTAATGAACAATTGTGTTTGGGTGGAGCTGGAGCAGTATATTCTGTTTATCCTCTTCTTCTGGACTACAAGCTGTGTAAAAAGTGCAGAGAGACGTTGAGTCTCCTTCTACTGAGAACTGTTATTGGATAATTCCCAAACATTTGGCACTGTATTGCTTAAGAGATGTTTCATCCTATATTACTGAAAGGGTTGCGAAAGGGTTGTGGGGGTTGCAGGGGTGTGGAAGCAAAAAATGTAATGCATGTTGGGTACAGATACCCCCCCCCACAAAGTGAGCAGCATGTTACAAGTCCTCTAACCTTCTGTGGTGGGCAGCATTGTGGCCAGGTATCCAGGCCCATGCAGTGAAACTAGAAACTGTATAATGGTGGCATTTACATTTGCTGTTCAACACACTTCTGTATCTGGCCCCGACTCCATAGACCTGTGGCCCTCAAAAGGTTGCTCAGAAGGGAATGTGGCCCTCAGGCTGAAAAGGGTTCCCCATCCCTGCCCTATGATGAAGTTGTTAGTTGCTCAAACAGCGTTGCCTCTGCAAACCCTCAGACAGATCCTGTTGCCTGGCTGCAATTTTCTATGCGCTTTTGGGACACATTTCCCGATATAAGATACAGTGGTGAGCAGATAGCCTGCAGTTCAGACCTGGCCTAGTGACAACCACTGGTTGACCACCACTATTAGTGATTTGAAAGAAACTTTTTAGTCCATGCCAATGTCCTCTTCAGAAGTGGCTTCAAGAGGGAGGTAAAACAGCCCTACCCACATACCAGTTTTCTGACTCCCCTCTCTATTCCAGGACAGGCAGAGTGCCAGTTAGAAATTTGCTGATACAGGAGGAAAGAGTGCAGTGTGCTCCAAATTTACGTGGCTTTATGCATGACAGAGCCTAGCAAGCTCTCTCTGCAATTTTGAAATGTACATATATCCGCAGAACGTTGGCACGATATTTATCCATTTTTTGAAATCACTGGTCTAGTTCAGTCCTGGGAGCTTTGTGCTCTGTAGTCCCCTCTGTATTGAGAAAGGTGTTGGTTCTAATCTAGATCATGTGAGTTGTACTCTTAAGAGTGCAGAAAAATCATTTGTGAAAGTATGTGGGATATTCTGAATGTTCATTCACCTGGTGCCCAAGGTAATTCAGCACTTCCTATGTGAATGCACACTGCATCCAACAAAAACACTGGCCTGGTTTGTATGTAATAAGCAAACACGTAGGCTCCCTGACAGGAGAATGAAGCCAATTTGCTTCTCCCCAGCCATTTTGGTGCTGTGCTGTGCCAAACTAAACCATGGTTTGGCTCAGTATGTCATCCAAGCTTTGAGCCAGGATTTAGCTCTCTCCAAACAGACCATGAGCTCATACAGGTTTGCTCTAGAGTTTACAGCTTGTGGAGAGAGTTAAAGCACAAGCCCAGGTTTGAATGACCCTCTAAGCCAAACCACAGTTTAGCTAAGCATAGCAGCAAAGTGAGCAGTGAGGCATAAGGCAGCCATGATCTCCTCTCTGGAAGCCTGCACATTTGCTTATTTGTACCATACCACTGTTTGGCTTAGGGTTACATACAAATGGGAAAAATGTGGGTTTCAAAGAGGTCTGCCTACCAGCTTTGGAAACCAATATCACAAGAAGGGAACCCCAACTATACACCCAAGTCCCGGTTTAAGTGGGCTATGGTGATGGTCTCACTAACTGACAGCCCATTAGAGAAAAAATAAATGATAATAATACTTATAATGGTTCCCGTTTTTACTGGCTCCCCTTATTTTTCTAGGGCCCAGGGGCCAAATGTGGCCCTCCAAGCCTCTCTATCCAGCCCACAGGACCACACCTTCTCCCCAATGCCCGTCTCTCAGCAGCACTGCCCTGTGACTTTTTCAAGTGCTTTTGCCTGAATCGTATATGACATTGAATTGTGATTATTACCCTTTCTTCCCTTGATGGAGGATGATGAAAGGTATGTGTTTAGAAACCTCTCACTTCTGCAAAGCTGGAATGGAGCCTAGCTTACGAAGGTTAGAATCCCATCCTTTGCTTTGCCCACTTTTTGCCTCTGGCCACACCCACTACTGGCGTGCATCTCTAAAAGGGATGCCCCTGAGGGGAAGCATCCCTTGAGCTGGAAAAGCTTCATTACTCCTGTAATGCTGAATGTTTAATGGAGACTGTCAGGGTCAGGCTGCAGCCCTGGGTGACAATACTTGAATCGAGACCTGCATAATGTATTCTGTGGCTCAGGAACCCAGGCATCAGTATCTTAAGCTGGGAAAGATGGAGAAAGTATTTATATTGAATCTGGACAATACAAAGGCTTTGTACTGCTAGTCGATCACTGCTGCTATTCCTTTCTATGTCTGAAGAGGGCACTGAATCCTGGCTACACATACAATCCACAGCCCCGGGGTTCCTGGCAGGCAATTTGTTTCCTGTTATAAAGAAGATGAGACATTTTCCTACCAGTTCCAGCATTAATAGTGGAAGGAGAGCTCTCTTTGTCCTGCTTCACAGCTGTCACTCCAATGCCATATTCTGTTCCTGGCCTGAGACCTAAACAACAACAGCAACAACAGAAATAGCTCTTTATTCATGTTGCCATTTGATTAAAGAAGTTTCAATTAATTATATGTTCTTAAACCAATCAATTAATATATTAAACAAGTATACATTTTCATAGGAATAAAACCTTAGTTGTGAAGATTTTAAAAGTGCAATTATTTATCTTTTATATTAAACATATATGTTTTGCCATCTCTGTGTCAGTCAAAAAGGTGTCCCCCTCTTTTATTTAATAAAAAAGATTAAGAACTTGTGAATGCCACAGCATGATAGGATTTGTAGTCTTATAACTAGCCCTGCATGATAAGATTTGTAGTCTTAAGAATGCAATTCAAGCTTGAGGCCATGCAACTTATATAGACATTTGGTCCAACAGTAACTTGACTACCTTTCAGGTGAACCATACCTGTGAGTGTAGCTTTGGTTGTGGCTTGGTCACTTCTGGGTACTGTGACTTCAGCATGATCTCCACCAGAAATGGGGGCATACTTAATTCTGTAAGCTTCTGGTGTTGCTTGGCTGTTCTTCCATTCCAGGGTGATGGTGCTGTCTGTCTGAGACAGGTGCTTCAGATTTTTGGGAGCATCCAGTTCTGGGCAGAAGAAGGAAGGTGGTTAACTGTTAGCAAAGTTTGTGTATGCAGAACTGCAGGGGAAGCTTTGGGCTTAACAAATGTTAGGACATGTTCCCCATTAGTTATGGGCAAACTTCCTTCTGCTCTGTTCAGATTTGGTTCAGCATTTATGAACTATCTCTTTCCAGCAGCATAACAGTTTCTGCCCAATGCCAAGCCTATTCACAGTAGACTCATTGGCATTAATGGACATGACTAACAGGTTCATTCATTTCAATGGGTCTACCTTGAGTAGAACCTAGTTGGATACAACCCAATACTTTCAACCTTGGTATGTCAGCATAGATAGGAAACCTGTAGCCCTTCAAGTGTTGCTACACTACAAGCCCAGTGAACACTAACCATTAGCCATGCTGGTTGGTACTGAAAAGGATTGGCATTCAGCAACATCTGCAGACTGCAGGACTACAAGTTCCCCACCCTTGTGATAGAGCAGCGGTTTCTGGATTAAATCCCAGGGTGCCCTGCTGTTCCTCAGAAGATTCTCAAGAGATTCCTCAGTGTGGTGGCACACCAGTGTTCCCAGTACTCCCAAGCATTTCTAGAGAAGTGTGTCTGCAGTTGCACTTTGGGTGAGCTTTGGTGCACATCTGCAGTTCATGTGGAGCAATAGTGATTCTCAAAGGCGTAACTAGTCCACTGAATGTGCCCCGTGGATTGCGCCATAATGTTCTGCAGTGCACCATGGTTCCAAGGCAGGTATTTGTAGTAAGAAAAGTAAAAAAAGGATTGAATTAATTCTCCGAAAGTAGATAGTTTTAAAAGTAATGGATTTGGTGCATAGTAGAAGTCTGCTCTGAGCTTGCAGAGCTCAAGGGCAACACGCACTGGCCTCTGCAATCAGCCAATAGACCAAGGCCCACTGGGGGGCTGCTCCACCTGTCTCCCAGGAAGAACATCATGGCAAGAAAGAGACTAGCCTGGACCCATCCATTGGCTGAAGCAGCTGCTGCTGCTTTGCCAGAAAAGAACACCCTGCTCCAACTACCTGTTGGAGTTCTTGAACTGGAACTGTAGAAGCAGGTAATGGAAAAGAACACTCTGGTCCCAACCATTGGCCAAAGGAGCAAAAGTCATCAGCTGCTATTCAGGCAAGAACTCCAGCAAGAGAAGACCAGCCTGGTCCCAACTTGCAGCTTATGGTTTGCCAGTTTGCTCTGATCATACACTTTGCTTTGCCAAGTGATCTGGGAGAAAGTCAGATCCAGTACAATTAATACAAGACCTGACAAGCACGTAGAGCTGAAAAGGGAAGTGGGAAAGTGTGTCTGTCTTCCAACTTCCTCCCCCAGTTCTATGCAGTTCTCAAGGGATTAAAAAAAGTAAATTCCTCACCACCTCATGACTAAAAGGGCATTGAGTGAGAGGGAGCTCAGTGGGTCTATTGGCACCAAAGTTATAATTCAAGGACACCATTGCATCCATTGCTGCCACACTGGAAACAATGGTAGGTAGGTAGGTAGGTAGGTAGGTAAGTAGGAAGGAGAACTCTGACCACTTCTTACCTGTGACAAAGGTTTCCGTAACAGGGTCACTCTCCATATCCCCACGTCGGGACACTAGTGTCACCTCATATTCGGTGTGTGGTTTCAGATTCCCAATAGAGTATTGGCTATCATCCTTCGAGAGGTCGATGGTTGTTCGGTCCCCAGGGACATTCTTGGGCCCAAAAGTCAGCTCAACACCATCAATCTCAGCCAATGGTTTAAACCATGTGATCAGTGCTGTAGTGTCTGTAACATCATTTGCCTCAATCTGGCTGGGGGCATCAAGCTCTGTTGAGTACCAAAAAGGATGAGACAGGGATTTAGAATATTTGGATACCATACAACTCCTTCATGAATAGGCTTTTTAAAGGGTGCAAAAATAAATCTGAATGAATTGCAAAAATTCTCTGGGGTGGGGGTGTGCAGAGACCATACAACTCCATCTCAAAACAGTCTTCATTTTCATTTAATTAATTAATTAGTTACCACATTTTCTAATTTTCTCTGTATCTAATAAAACATATAAAACTTGATAAAATGTTTTCCCCATGTGGTGAGCAGCTATTCAATCTGACAGTTGCTACAGGCACATGCAGAGAGCCCCCCCTCCCCGCTTCAGTACTGCTGCCCACTCACTAACCCTCTGGGGACATCCATATGCTTTTTGCAGCAGCAATGAGAACTGCAGTGACATAAAGTGCCTTTATTGTTCCTCTTTACTGCTGTAAGAATCTAGACACAGCAGGAAGGTGACCCAACAGAAATGCAGAGAGATAGTTTTTTTCAACGGATGGCTCTACATCCTCCACAGTTCCATTGTACTCTTACTTTTCCTATCCCAATGTGTGTCAATATTATGTTACTAGTCTCTCCAACAGTGTTGGCTCCCAGTTCTTGTGGGGCATCTGGAAGGAGGCTGTCAGTGGGCCCCCAGGCCTTGCCTTTCAATTAGGCCCCCTCCCCACTATGAAATGAGTAGCCATCCGGTTAGATGCAGCCCACACTATGTGAGAGGTTAAAGGTAAAGTTAAAGGGACCCCTGACTGTTAGGTCCAGTCGTGGACGACTCTGGGGTCATGGAACTTTGAAGTGTCAGGCATAGCCCTATTGGCTTTAGCCCAAACGTAGCAGAGTTTTCCTGCACAGCGAGGAAGCTAGTTGCGGCGGTAATGACTAGTCAGCTAGACTCAGAATAACTATTTAGAGGATTTATTAAAAAGGGAAAAAAATAAAACCAGCAGAGTTTCTGCATACAAATAAAAGCAAAATAAATCCTCTCTTTCTCTCTCTCTCAAAACCATACACAGCACTTCTACTCCAACTCCTAACACACCTCACATCAAACTGTGCTAGCAATCCCTAGATAACAGAGTTGAGTGCTGGTCGTTAACCAATCAGAGTAAGTAGTTTCTAGGTCAAGCAGACCTGGGCTTTCTGCCAAGAGTAAATTGACACTGCCTTAAGTTAATTGTGTGAAGCCAGAATCTGCAAGTTTCCCATGAGAATCAATTAACAGAAACTGAACATGGGGTTGTGGTGCTCTCGCTTTATTGGCCAAGGGAGCCAGCGTACAGCTTCCAGGTCATGTGGACAGCATGACTAAGCCACTTCTGGCGAACCAGAACAGTGCATGGAAACGCCATTTACCTTCCTGCCGGAGCGGTATCTATTTATTTTATTGCACTTTGACGTGCTTTTGAACTGCTAGGTTGGCAGGAGCAGGGACTGAGCAACGGGAGCTCACCCAGTTGGGGGGATTCGAACTGCCGACCTTTCGATCAGCAAGCCCTAGGCTCTATGGTTTAACTTGCAGCGCCACCTGCGTCCCACCTATGTGAGAGGTTAGGTGACTGCAGTTCTGAGAAGCAAATTATCTTTCCAATTGCTGCCCATTACACTGTGGAGGTGAGGAGGGAGGACATGTGAGAAAGGCTTCAACTCCCATGACTTGCTCCTTGGCTGTCATGCCCCAGACCAAGAATCCTCATGTGCCACATGGTCCTACCACAGGAGTTCCAAGGAGGAGGCTTGGTTCTTCCCATGTGGACCTACTGGGACCAGATCCCTCATCTTGTTCCCTGAGTTCTAAGGAGATTCCTGACCAACAGGTGAAACATGACCAATGGGTGGACCAGAGATTCCCCAGAGGATCAGGAAAGACTTGAGGAGCTGGGAGGGAGATGGGTATGTTCAGAAAGAAAAGACTGAGAGGTGAAACGATAGCCATCTTCAAATATTTGAAGGTCTGTACCACGGTAGATGGACCAAGCTTGTTTTCTGGTGCTCCAGAGGGTTGGATCTGAACAAATGGATTCATATTACAAGAAAGGAGAATCTGACTAAACATTAGGAATAAAGTTCTGGTGGTAAGGGCTGTTTGACAATGGAATGGACTACCTTGGGAAGTCATGGACTCTCCTTCATTTGAGGTTTTCAAACAGAGTTTGGATGGCTATCTGTCAATGAATCCTTAGATATGATTCTTGTGTTGTAGGGGCTTGGACAAGATGACCATTTATGTCCCTCCCAGCCCTACAGTTCTATGATTCTGTAATTCTAAGTCCCCCAGCTTGAAACGTTGCTGCGCAGAAGACACCAATGTGCACAGAAAATGTAACAAGCCCTTTAAATGAGATTATACACCAGTTATCCAACTCCTGAATCCTAAAATGAACTGCTTTTGGGCAGGCTAAGGCTTTGACTGAGTCAGATAAAGACAGTCTCATATTGCCCAAGGTTGGGTTGGGCTATCTGGAGTGTTCTGCAGCAGTTGAGGGGCAGGGTGTCTGGTGAGAAGAAGGAGCTCTTGTTGCATGGGCCCTTTCCCAGCAGTGGAAGTTAAGAGGAAGAGGCTGGTTTGACTGGTTTGCTTTCTCCCTTCCCTTTCACAGCACAGGCTCTAGTGTTTGCTGTCAGACCTTGGCATCTCATTTTCTCACTATAGAAAGAGCACTGATTTTTCAGTATTCTGCAATTGCAGCCTCTATTGGGAAAAATAGATTCAAATCAACTAAGTAGTCTTTAGTGTTAAAATGTTCTCCAGTGATAATGCTTGTGGTTTGGATATAGAGTACTTCATTATGCTTTTGTTGATGACCTTGCTCATCCTTTGTTTGGTGAGAAGCCTCTTGAAGATTGCAGCAACCATCAGTTTTGACAGTTGCTACAGTCATCCACTGCAAATGCCATCCATTCTAGCTTTCTCTCAGCATTGCTGCTTGCTCACCTTCCCAGGGTATCTATTTTCTTCCCGCAACAAACAAGAGCAGCAACTCACTAAATCGGTCAGACTAATAACTGGCACAGTCACCTAGAGGCTGGTCACATTCAGTTGCTACTTACTTGTTGTTATTACCCTGGAGAGGCCAGGTCCTCTGGTTTGATTCTTCACAACATAAAGAGACACATTATATTGTTGTCCTGGTGCCAAGCCTGGTTGCAAATACGATGTTTGAGGCTTCTTTAGACTGTTCCTGATTCCCACATTGTCTTCCTCCTTCTGCAATGCATAAGTTAAACAATTGGAATTTAAAGAAGCAAGAAATGTAACCAGGACCATTCACATCACAAGGGACCCACTCATAGGACATATCTTTCCTTACCAGGCTGTTAAAAACAATCTCCCATCCACTGAATGGGATGTCCAGGGGGTCCCACTCCACCTCCACTGATGTCTCTTTAATAGACTTGAACTTCAAGCCATCTGGAGCGGGCAAATCTGGAAAGCAATAGCAGAAAGCAGATGCATGAGGCATGGCTTCAGCGTTCAAACCATATTCATTAAATATATATATAGAAATACCCCCAACACTATATGCTGGAACACTACTTGAAAGCCAGTAAGCTACAAAGAGGAAATCTGACATACTGGGAACACACTATCAAATCTTTTCCCTGTCATTCTTGAGGAAGGCCCAGGATTTAGGACTGAAACAAAGCAGTTCCTCCAACTTCATCAACTCATTGGAAGGTTGCAAAGAGCCACATTCCTGTTTGCAATGTGGGGTGGGGCGTGTCAGTACGCCTTTCAACCGATGTCAGCGACTGGGCTTAATAACTGGTTCTGCCCTAACTGGGCTAGGCAACTGGAGCACTTTCAGAGACCTTCCAGTTCTGGAAAGCAGGTCTCAGTGCACTGGACTCACAACTGTGCATTGTGAGACCAGACTCAGCAGAGAATAAATAACGCGGAAGCTAGCTGTGAAGCATAACTTCTTTTATTTCTAATAGCTACTGCAAACTAAAGAACTACTGGCTTGCATTGAGTGTTACAGCTCCCACTCAGCCATCTAGTCACTACATAGATAAGACTCTCTCCACACAGAGTCAGGCAGGCAGTCAGGAGCGGAAGAGAAGAAGAGCAGTTTCCGCCCCCTCCTTTCTGAAAACATCAGATCAGGAGATTCTTGCAATGGGAGGGGTTGAAAATATCAACAGGGCGGGAGGCGGGGGCTGTAAAGATAGCTTAAATCTTTTCATGCCCCGTCCTTGGCCCATTTCCCCCCTTTGCCTACATGTTGTCATTCCAGAGTAAGGGCATTGGCTTCACTCAGGTATGGCTTTCTGATGAAGCGCCTCCCTGCTTGGTTCTGCAAGGGGCAGAGGAAGGAGGAGGACGCTGATAGGCAGTTCTACCCTCTGCGCTGGTCCTAAGTAAAAAAGGTAGGCAGGTGAGAGCTGGCAGGGCAGTGTCAGGCCCCATTCATCCTAATGGACCAGCCTCCTTTGCTAAATAAGAGGTGTTTTGCACTTGGCTAGTATTGGAGAAAGGATTTCTGAACCAGGGGAAATGATGGCTGCCCCAACTAGTACCCACTTAATTACATCTGGGCTCATAACATAGAAATAATAACATAGAAGCAAACAGCAGTGCACCCATGTATTCCATCCTGATTTTACAGGAAGGTAAGTGTTTTGTAGACAAACAAGTTAATTGAATGTCTCAGCTGGGCTTTAATGTACTCACAAGTGGCTACCCGGGCACTAATTGGGATGCTCTTCTTGTTCTTCAGGATGGCAAAAACACGGATGAAGTATTCCACACCAGGCTCCAGCTCTCGGATGGTGGCTGACGTATGGTTCCCAGGCACTCTGAACTCAAAGTCTAAGCCACCAGTTCCGGTAGGGATGTAGGTGATGAGGTATTCAGTGACCACATTTTCATTCTTCCATTCCAGGTTGACAGTCTTGTCAGTCACATCTGTAACTGTCAGATCTCTTGGAGGCAATACTAAGAAGAGAAATTAAAAGATAAAATAAAAACATGTACTATGGCAGAGAATCAAATGGCATGTGTTTTTAAAACTGAGACACAGATCATTTGCCATGCTAAGGGCTAGGCTGCATGAACAGGGGTGGGGGTAGTCATTTTGGACTGCGGGTGGGGAATCAGGGTTCTAAGGGCTCCCACCAGCACCCTATGTACACTAGAACATGGATTTCACATTGCTTGTTGTTGTTTTTAGAGGAAAAAATGCTACCCATACCCTGCTGTTCAACATAGTACAGTTAAAAGAGGTCTCTATTAAATGTTTGTGCTGAACCTTTAGCTCGTTTCTAACTTTGAAGCCACTTCGGACGCAGGTGGCGCTGTGGGTAAAAGCCTCAGTGCCTAGGGCTTGCCGATCGAAAGGTCGGCGGTTCGAATCCCCACGGCGGGGTGCGCTCCCGTTGTTCGGTCCCAGCGCCTGCCAACCTAGCAGTTCGAAAGCAGCCCCGGGTGCAAGTAGATAAATAGGGACCGCTTACCAGCGGGAAGGTAAACGGCGTTCTGTGTGCTGCGCTGGCTCGCCAGATGCAGCTTGTCACGCTGGCCACGTGACCCGGAAGTGTCTCCGGACAGCGCTGGCCCCCAGCCTCTTGAGTGAGATGGGCGCACAACCCTAGAGTCTGTCAAGACTGGCCCGTACGGGCAGGGGTACCTTTACCTTTTACCTTTAACTTTGAAGCCATCTGCACTGTGCATTTAGAACAGTATCATAGCACTTTAAACTGTAACAGCTTCCCTCAGAGACTCCTGGAAACACAGTTTGTTTAGGGTGCTGAGAGGAGGTTGCTTTTCTCTTCACTCTAGCCTTCTCATACTTCCATGCTTTAAAGCTCTGTCCAAGTGCTCTTTTTTGTTGTTGTTGCTCCTGAGCTTTCCCCACAAAAACCTGCTCTTTACAGCTGAATTGGAGGAAACGGAAATCCACAGAAAACCCAAATTGCTTTTCATTGCACTTCAGTTTTAAAGAGCAGGTTTTCATAGGGAAAGCTCTGGGGAGGAAAAGAAAGAGTACTCAGGCTTGGAACTTTAAAGTGCAGACCTCTGCCTAGAAAGTGTGGGGCAAAATGGGCCAATGACAAAATGGGCCATAGATATTGGTTACAACATATTAAGTAAACCTACAAAAGATTATGTACCGGTGGTACTTGACACCCAGAAAAAATAGTGAAAATGTATTTAAAAGGGTCTAATTTATGCTGGAAGTGCCACGAAGTGGAGGGAACCCTGATCCATACGTGGTGGTCATGCAAATATGCTCATGTAAATTATCCACACAGAATTAGAAACAGATTCTAAAACTCACATTTCCCCAAATACCAGAGGCCTTTCTATTAGAGATAATAGGTGATGACATTCCAAAAAAGACACTCAATATTTTTTTGTACGCAACCACTGCAGCTAGAATAGTATATGCAAAAAAAACAACAACAACAACAAAACAACAAAAAAAAAAGGCAAGCAGAAGAGATACCCACAAAGGAAATCTGGCAGAAAAAATGGATAGAATGCATAGAATTAGTAACCATGACGGCAAAACTAAGGAATAAGGATGAGTTAAAGATAAGAAAAGAGTGGAGGTGTTTTCGAGATTATCTTAGAGGGTATAATATACAATTTAACCTACAAGTAGGAGTTAACATATGAGTAGCAGATAACATCAAAAAGGAAGTCTTGAAATGATAATGGGTAAAATATGAGGATATGTAGCAGATCAAGATTTCCATGGTATGCCACAGAGAGATGGGTTAGGAAGTCTTTGGAAAAGAAGTGATGAATACAGTACAATGTGTGCATAAAAGCTGTTAAAATTTCATAAATAAAAAACAAATAAACAAAAGAATGCTGAGAATGGTGATTCATCCATGTGGGCAACTGCCCCACCTTGCCTCCGGGGGGGGGGGGAGCCCATGCACATAATGGTAACTGTTTGGGTGGTACTTACCATCAGAACAGTCATCGCCTACATAACCTTCTTCACAGACACACTGTCCGTTGACACAGCGACCGAGATCGTTGCAGTTGTTGGGGCAGGACTGCTCGCTGCAATCTTGTCCCTGGTATCCCTCGTCGCATATGCACACTCCGTTGATGCAGCGCCCTTGATTGTTGCAGTCTTTGGGGCACTGCAGTTGGCTGCAGTCTACCCCGGTGAAGCCCTCTTCACAAACACACTGCCCGTTCATGCAACGGCCTCGGCCACTGCAGTTGTTCACACAGGCCAGTTCTCGGCAGTCATCCCCAACAAAGCCTTCATTGCAAACACACACACCATTGATGCAGCGCCCACGGTTGTTGCAGTCATTGGGGCAGGTCCTTTCAGCACAATCCTCCCCTGTGTAGCCCTCATCACACACACACTGGCCATTGATGCAGCGACCATGCCTGTTGCAGTCTTTTGGGCACCGCAGTTCACTGCAGTCCACCCCAGTGAAGTTGTCATCACACACACACTTGCCATTGACACAGCGTCCCCGGTCGTTGCAGTCGTTGGGGCACTGCAGCTGCCCACAGTCCTCACCCACAAAGCCCTCGTTGCACACGCACTGCCCATTGATACACCTTCCATGGTTGTGGCAGTCATTAGGGCATTTCAAGTCTCCACAGTCATCCCCCATAAACCTCTCATCACACTCACACTGCCCCTTGATGCAGCGGCCACGGTTATTGCAGTCATTGGGGCACCGCAGTTCACTGCAGTCATCTCCCATGTACTTTTCATTGCACACGCACTGGCCATTCACACAGCGACCGTGGTTGTTGCAGTCACTGGGGCATCTCACTTCTCCACAGTCAAGGCCCAGGAAACCTGCATGGCACACACATTGTCCATTAATGCAACGGCCGCGTTTGTTGCAGTCTTTGGGGCACCTCCGGTCGGCGCAGTCATCCCCCATGAACCCTTCATAGCATACACACGAACCCTTGTCACAACGACCATTCCCATGGCAGTTGCTGGGACAAGTCATTTCCCCACAGTCTTCTCCAGTGAACCCAGCATCGCAATAGCAGGTCCCATTAACGCAACGGCCACGGTCGTAGCAGTCGTTGGGGCAAATAAGCTCACTGCAATCTTCTCCAGTGTAACCTTCGTCACACTCACACTCCTCCTCCACACAGCGCCCACGGTTATTGCAATTATTGAGGCACAGGGATTGGCTGCAGTCTGTCCCACTGAAGCCTTCTGTACAGATGCACTGCCCATTGACGCATTTCCCATTCTCACTGCATGGCACCAAGCAAACTTCCTGGCTACAGTCCTCCCCGGCGTAGCCATCAAAACACACACACTTGCCATCAACACATTTGCCTTGGTCATTGCAGTCCCCAGGACATGTCAGTTGCCCACAGTCCTCCCCTGTGAAGCCTTCATCACAAATGCACTTGCCATTGACACATTGCCCTCTGTTGTTGCAATTCTGGGGGCATTCTGGTTCAGAGCAGTTGGGGCCCTTCCAACCAGGTTCACAGATGCAGCCACAGACATCATTACTGTAGTTTCCCCGTCCACTGCAGTAGGGAGTAGCATCAATGTGACCTGTGCCAGTGAAACAAGGAAGCAGGCCATCATAAAAAAATACAGCAATGGCTAACAAAGAAGCACCAGAAAACATTATGGATAAGAAGTTTCCCTCCATTAACATAAACACATGAGAAGAGCCCTGCCGGATCAGGGCAACGGCCCATCTAGTCCAGCATCCTGTTATCACAGTGGTTGCCTGGATGTTTATTGGAATCCCACTAGCAGGACCTGAGCACAACAGCCCATTCCCCAACTTGTGATTCCCAAGAACTGGTACTCAGAGGCACACTGCTACTCTTTCCAACTCCTGGTTTAAGTCAGAAATTTTCAAAAAAATCAAACTTGGGGGAAAAACCAACCAATCACCTGTACTGGCATCCTTTCAGCTTCTGACAATACTTAGGTAGGCGTTCCCTTGTTCTCTTGACTTGAGGCTCCTGTTTTAACTGCTTTAATGGGATTGTTTTGTTACATGTTTTGATGGTGCAAGTTTATATTGTTTTAATGTTTTATTCTCCAACTAAATTATATCTGGAACAGACTCATTGAAATTAGTCATGACAATTAATTTCAGTGAGTCTTCTCTGAGCTATGTCTCTGTCTGCTGAAGCAAAAGTCTCTTGGGCTAGTGGACAACTGAGTGTTAGCCGTGGGCAAGCTGAAATTCATTGCAGGACAGAGTGCCAAATATGTTGTGCAGCAAAGTTACCACAAACCTGCTTATGCATTTTCTTGTGCAACAGCATTCACAAACAGAACACGTATGCCACTAAATGCCTTTAACATAGAATTTACATTTGATACAACACAATGTGCCCTTTCATTATGGATGTTTTTATATTTGTGTAGCTGTTTCTGTAACCCACTTACATACTTATCTTGGCATTAAGCAATTAATGATAATGAGAAGTTGGTTCACTGACTTTTCTGCCTTCCTTGGCATTCTTGATTCATAAACCTGTGCTGATGGTGGGGAGGAATCTCAATAGCTGCAAATGTATGTGTGAATGCAGGATTGTTTTCGTGTGGCCTTTTTGAGCCTGTTCAGAGCTCACTGGATGAAGGGTGCATGGGGAATGCTTTTCCAGGGCTGACAACAGGGGCCTGTATTACCATGCTCCTGCTAAGGCCCGTCCTCTAGTAGGGTGCCTACAGCCAATACCAATTGCTTCCTAACTGTGATGCACCACCTCCTTGCATATAGTCTATCCACCTACCCAGGGGTGGGAAACTCAGGCTACAGAGCCATACACAACCCTCCATGCCTCTTTTTTTGGCCCTCAAAAGGACTCTCTCCAGATCATAGACCCTCCCATAGGCTGCATCCAGCCTGAGTACATTTGGGTGGCTGGAATGCTTCTTTGACAATGCTTCTTGATTGCCTGGATGGGAGATGGAGAAATGTGATGTGTGTGTACAGACCTCTCACTTTTGCATGGCCGGAATGCAACTTATTGCACAAAAGTGAGATAGAATCCCTAGCTACCCACAGTCTATTCACAACACACTCACCATTTAAAACAGGGAAAAGTACCAGCCACACTGGGGTTTATTTTGCGACTGCTAATAGGATTTAATATTGATTCCCCTTTAAATGTTGAATGCTTTATTCATTTTGTGTTCTGAATGTGTAAGTAGGCTCTTTGAAGAAATATTTGGGAATGTGAGGTATACATTATTAAACAGAATGAACAAATAAAACAACTGCACCGTGTACCTGTTATCCATCATGGGCCTTTCTCGACTACAACTTCATTTCCTGATTTATTTATTTGGGTCCACCTAATAGACTGAAAGCCTTTTAGGACAGCAAACATATGAGGAATCAGCAGTTTACTGTGCAGCATTTCTGAATCCCACAACAATAACACCTGTTGTTATGGCTTGGTGGTAGAACATCTGCTCTGCATGCACTGGAGCATCTGCTCCAGAATTCGGCAGCTGGTCTAGTTACTGGGAGTGGCAGTCGAGACCATATAACACTGGTCCTGAAAGACCTACATTGGCTCCCAGTATGTTTCTGAACACAATTCAAAGTGTTGGTGCTGACCTTTAAAGCCCTAAATGGCCTCGGCCCAGTATACCTGAAGAAGCATCTCCACCCCCATTGTTCAGCCCGGACACTGAGGTCCAGCTCCGAGGGTCTTCTGATGGTTCCCTCACTGCAAGAAGTGAGCTTACAGGGAACCAGGCAGTGGGCCTTCTCAGTGGTGGCACCCATGCTGTGGAATGCCCTCCCATCAGATGTCAAGGAAATAAACAACTATCTGGCTTTTAGAAGACATCTGAAGGCAGCCCTGTTCAGGAAGTTTTTAATGTCTGATGTTTTATTGTGCTTTTAATTCTGTTGGGAGCCACCCAGAGTGGCTGGCGAAACCCAGCCAGATGGGCGGGGTATAAATAATAAATTATTATTATTATTATTCCCAGCATCTCCTGGTAGGACAGGAAGATCCCCCTGCCTGAAACTTTGGAGAGCTGTTGCCAGTCAGTGTAGACAATGCTGGACTAGATGGACCAGTGGTCTGACTCAGCATAAGGCAGCTTCCTTTGTTCCTAACTCAGCACCCCAGTCATTACATTGTTGAAGGGCCATAGCTCAGTAGTTGGAGCATCTGCTTTGCCATACCTATTGCTGGTTGTCCACTGGGGCAGCACCCGGATCCACTGGTGCACTGGTCTCGCAGAGAGGACACCAGTCCCTCCAGTTCCTCCAACCTACTTAGGAGATCCTTGATATCAGGGGCTGCTGCACAGCCACAAGCCCGTCGTGGGATGTTTATCCTGTGTGTGAAGACAATCTGGTTCTCCTCATTCAATGTATGCTCCTGGTATTGCTTGTCCTGCTCAGTCTGAGTCTTGAGTTCTGAGTCGCCACTTGCTGAGTCCAAGTCCACAGAGCAGAGGTTGCCTGCGGGGACTTTAATATTGTAGACATGGTTAAAGACCACAGGCTGGTTGTCCTCCGGCAATGTGACATTGAGTCCAGCCTCCCTCTTCTGCCGAATAATTCTTTTGATGAGTCCACCATGAACGTGTTGATGGAATAAAGCGATGGTCACCAAGGCCAGTACCCAAACATGGAGGCCCATGCTGAGGTTCAGTTCCTTGGGAATTCTCTTATGGCTTCAAATCTCCTTTATGTTCACAATAGAAAAGAACAATGAGAAAAGCTCGTTTCGATGTGATTGTGCCGATCAGCTCTCCTTCCTATCAATGGTCCTGCAACAGTTAAAGTTACATGGAGCAAGTTACTTCTCTGTGAAACCAATATCATGACAGGGTGGTTGACCTCCAGGAAGAGGTCAGCAGTGAGTTCAGAAGCGATCAGTTTGCAACTGAATAAGACCTTCAAAACTGTGGTGAAACAGAGTGGCAGATGCAGACTCTAGGATATGCTGAGCCCAAACCATTTAAGTTGTTGTGGAGTCAACACCAGCACCTTGAACCAAATCTAGAAAGTGATATGGAATAGAGATGGGTGAACACCCCTTGGCTTGATCTAGAAGAAAATGTGTCCTTCTGAGCTTCCTTGATTGGTGGGGAAGGTCCTCATCATCTGGATGAGGCCTTTGTGTGGCTCTTGAAATATTAGCCTGCAGTGGGGAACCTTAGGTCTGGGGGCTAAATGCAGCCTTCAAGGTCTCTCTACCTGGCACTTTGGACTCTCCCTGAGCTACACCCACTCTCCCTATGCCACGCCCATCACCAGTCCTTTTCCATGTCCTCCCTTGAGTGCTTTTGCTTGGCTGGAATGAGTTCATGGACTATTACAATGCCTCTTGCTTGACTGGATGATGTTTGTGTGTATATTTAGCACGGTTGGGATGTAGCCAACTGTACAGAAGGTAAGAGTTACATCTGTTGCCACACCCATTTTTGCATCTATTGTTGTTGCTCTTGTTGTTATTCTACCAAGCTATTCAGTTCAAACAAACACTCAAAGAAATAAAAAAGAAATAGAAATCCAGTACATAATATTGAAACCTCAAATGCAGTAAATAAAAAACACCATTCACCGGGAGCAGCAAAACAACTTCTCAAATCCATAATTGTATTCCTGAAGATGAGGGTAGCTTGAACCTCCCCACACTTTGCACTGTTAAGTCGGATGGCTTTGTTATTGCTTGCACCCCTTGTATGCCCTCCAACATTTCACCAATGAAACGAGGGACATCCCATTCTATATTGATAATTTTCCTATTCATACCCTATACATCTTATTGCATTGCCCTAGGCACTCTGGGCAGCTTCCAACACATATAAAAACATAATAAAACAAGAAACATTAAAAAAAAATATTCCCTAGACCAGGTTGTCTTCAGACGGCTCGGGGGTCAGATAATTCCATACCCTCCAACATTTCTCCAGTGAAAATCGAGAAATCCTAAGGCACTGGCTTCTGCCAATTACTTCTTGGTAGCTCAGTTTACCTTTTCATAATAAAACACAGAGCCCCTGGGGCACAGCAGATTAATTCTGTTGAAACAAGAGAGGCAAGAAAGAGGCCACTGTGTGCCCATAATTACTTAAGTATGCTTAGAGAGATGTTAAACCAAGGAGGTGGGCTCATGATACCTCTAGCTCCATCAATCAGGAAGAGAGAATGTTGTTGTTGTTGTTAATTTTAGGCCTGTGCACTGGTTTCAGTCAAAGTCCACATCCTGAACAAAACAGGACCAATGGAGGGGGATCCAGGCTTTGGCTGAGGGGGAGCAAGTTCTAGACTGCCCTGGGTCAAGGATTCCAAAGTGGCCGGGGCTGTTAGGGTATGAAGCATCAAGTAGGAAGACTATTCATCTATGCATCTATTCCCAGATGATACACACAAGAGCACATTAATACTGAGCAGGATTGAACCCTAAGGTGAATCAAACCAGCAGGCTGCAGGTGTGTGATACGCCAGCATGATCATTTCAGGGAATGTGCTAGTGAAACATCACCCAGCAGGATGGACCCTCCTGTTCTGCAATGTGGTCAAGAGGAGGGGATGGACACACAGCACCTCCTTCCTCTGCCCCTCACAGCCATGTTTATAATTAGGATTTTAAAACCATCCCTACCACTGAGTTGAGTTGGGGCCAGATCCAGGTTGGATATTCCCTGGGTCAGCCCAGCCTAGGTTGGGGGGAATTGGGGGGCCCATTGGATTGGTGGGGAGGCTGTGCATAGCTCTCCCTTTTTTACATTTCTCTAGGCGATTAACAAATATACCGTAAAACAACTAAAAGTATTTCTAAGCACCTACAGAAAACAACAAAATGAACACCCAAGGCAGATACCTTTTCATCCAGCTTGTCAAAACAAAAATGCCTTTAGTTGTTTCTGTAAAGTATGGATAGTGTATGCCTGTCATATCTCAACAGGAGTACTTTTCGGCCGGGATGCTGTTAGCATCAGTGTATGTGTGCATCATGCAGGAAAACCATAAGCAGTGGAGACTGGTTTATTGGGGCTAGTGGGGCATTGCCCCACCAACCTCAGCCTGTCCTTAGCACATCCCAGACCTCCTTGCCTTTCTACTTCCAACCATTGCAGGGAGTGGCCCTGCCTGTCAGCTTCCTCCTCCTTTTTTGTAGAACCCAACAGAGAGAAGAAGGCGAACAAGAAAATAATTAGTTTGCTCTACCTATATCTTTGGCTCTGGCTGTGCCTGTCATTGACTCTGGTGGCACCTGCTGTTGGGATCCCAGCCTTCTGCACCACCAGTTCTAATGAGGAACAGCCTCCATTGGTCAGAAGATATTATTATTATTATTAGGACTTCTTATGAAATACTCCAAAAGAATCTAGATGCATGGGCTAGATAATCTAGAAAACTCTGGGTATTATCAAGTTCTGTCAAATGCAGTTACCTTGCGGAACCCACATTTTAGCAGCTTCCTTACAAGAATATCATGGGGGGGGGGCGGTGTCCATAGCATTACTGAAATCAAGATGCACTATGTCCACAGAATTCCCCTGATCCACCAAGATTGCAACTCATGGAATTAGCTGTCAAAAGATGCAGCAATAGCCACTATGTAGCTTAAAACAAGGATGAGGAACCTGTGGCCCTGGACTACAACTCCCATCCACCCCAGCCAGTACAAACAATTGTCAGGGATGTTGAGATCAGCTGTTGAGACACCCCCTGCCAAAAAAAATCCAACACAATACACAGGCAAATATAGACATAATTGTTAATGAAATAGAATGCACTGTGCATGGGTAAAACTTTTCATATACTCCCCATAGTATTAAATCATATGGAACAGGGGTGGGGAACTGGAGGTCTTCCAGATGCCATTGGACTACAGCTCCCATCATCCCTGACCATTGGCCATGCTGTCTGGGGCTGATGGAGTTCAACAACACTGGGAGAGCCGCAGGTTTCTGTATTCACTGATGTAGAAAATAGAAAACTCATTTATACCAAGGCAGGTCATTGATATCTGTCCGTGGACAAAAGCTGGCTTCCTCGGCCTGACATAGACATAGTTGTCTTTAACTGGACTTAACCGTCCAGGGATCCTTTTCCTTTTACCTATTACCTTTTCTGCCTGAAGGTGGTTCTGTGGCTTGAGACCCCAACCTGAAGCCTTCAGCTAAGTCCAAAGATTACCAGAGTTTGGATATAATCTGTAATGGTTTGGTTAGTTTTGTGGTGTTCAAGTTCCAAGTTCTGCAGTCCCTGAAAACCCCCAATAACCAGAGGCCATAGAACAGCCTTTCCCAAGCTGGTGCCCTCCAGATGTTTTGAACTACAACTCCCACTATTATTGACCATGCAGATTAGAGCCAGTTGGAATTGGAGTTCTGAACATCATCAGGTTTGAAAAAGCTGCCACAGAAGTGCCAATGTTCTTGTTCGGCAGCCTTCTCTAACTCAGGTCAATTTCTCTCTGCTTATATATTTCAAGCTGCCAGGTGCTTTGGTGTGGGAACTTGGAGGAACCGGTGAGGTCAACTCACTTGTGCATGCTCCAATGAGATGCAAGGGACCTCATTAGGGCAGATTAACAAAAATGAACAGTGGCAGTCAGAGGAGGCTTTCATGGGGAACAGCTTGAAATGGCTTGCCTTGCTTAAGGGAAATCTGCTAGTAGATCCAGTTGCTGCCAAAAGACTCTGGGCCACAGGCCATCTTTTGGCACTTGGCGGGGGGGAACCAGTGTGTCTTGAAAGTGTTTGGGTTTTTTAAAAGAAAAAGAAAAAGGAGAGAGGAGCCAGATTGAGTGGATTGCAGCTTTTGACGCAGCAGGAGTGAGAAGACTTTTGATATATGTCATTGCCATTGCTGCTCTTTCTTAATGGGTAAAAGACTCTCTGCCTTCGATGGTTCAACTGTATGGAGAAAGTGGGAAAATAAAATAGGGATTTAAGGATTTTCCCTTGTTATTTTACTTTATTGCAGGGATGGGGAACATTTATCTCTCTGGATATTGCTGGAATTCAACTTCAATCTCCCCAGATCATTGATGATGTTGGCTGTGGCTGATGGGAGCTATTCTTTGAAGGCAGAGATTATCAGCAGCAGTGGGTATTTGGGACAAGCATCAAGAATATATATTCACAATGACAGGGATCTGGAATGTGAACTTTCATACTCAAGTATATGTGTACCCATGTGCTGTTGAACTCCTGTCCTCTTTGTGGGCTTCTGAGAAGCATCTGGTTGGCCATTGTGAGAACACAATGTGGGGCTGGATGGGTGTTTAATCTGATTCAGCAGGGCTTTTCTGATGTTTCTAGGATGTTCCAATCATCATAGTTGTTGTCATTTAACAGATAGGTAGCCGTGTTGGTCTGCCATAGTCAAAACAAAAAAATATTCCTTCCAGTAGCACCTTAAAGACCAACTAAGTTAGTTCTTGGTATGAGCTTTCGTGTGCATGCACACTTCTTCAGATACACACTTCTTCTGTGTATCTGAAGAAGTGTGCATGCACACGAAAGCTCATACCAAGAACTACTTAGTTGGTCTTTAAGGTGCTACTGGAAGGAATATTTTTTTTGTGTTGTCATTTAATTCATTCATTGCTGCTGCTTCTTTTCTTTTTTCTTTTTTCTTTTTAAAAGTTCTTAGAATGACTCACACAACAGAAGATCCATACAACACATTTCAAGCAAATAAAACATGAAGATCAATAATAGCAAACTAGAAGAGAATATCAGTCATAAGTAAATAGTCTGCTAATAATACTAGGTGGGACTGTGACCTGACAAAACAGAGCTCTTCA